CTCACCTCAACAACAAAGGCAAGCGGTACCAGTGCACCAAGTCTGGAACCAACAGGACCCTAAACAGCTTCTACCCCCAAGCCATAAGAGTGCTAAACAACTAATAAAATGGCTACCCGGACTACCTGCATTTACCCCTTTTTGCACACACACTGGACTCTACCTACACACTCACACATACTTACACCCCAACACACACAAATAATACGCACTCCCATATATACTAACACACACACTTTCACACTCACCACATAAGCTGCTGCTACTGTCTATTATCCTGTTGCCTAATCACTTTACACATTTTAGTCATTTAGCAGACGCTCTTATCGAGAGCGACTTACAGTTAGTGAGTGCATACATTTTCATACTGGCCCCCCGTGGGAAACGAACCCACAACCCTGGCGTTGCAAGCGCCATGCTCTACCAACTGAGCTACGCCATACCCCTACCTATGTACATAGCTACTTCAATTACCTCGTACACCTGCACATCAACTCGGTACTGGTACTCCCTGTATATAGCCATGTTATTTTTACTCTTTATTGTCATTCGTTATTCACTGTGTTTTTATTCCTCATATCACTATTTATATTTTTTATCTTTTTATCTTAAACTATGCATTTTTGGAAAAGGACCCGTAAGTAAGCATTTCACTGTTAGTCTACACCAATTATTTACGAAGCATGTGACAAATAACAATTGATTTGATTTTGATTTGAACATGACAAGGCAGTTCAGTTGGAAACAGTGCCTCTTCTGGTGTAAGACCCATCCTGCATCCAGGCAAGATTTCATTTATTTCAGGAAAGGCCTGTGTAAACAGGCTTCGGTCATGAGTTGCATGAACAGAGTTCCAATAATTACAGGAAAAGGGGAATGGGAATAACTTAAATTGCACCAACATTTAACCCTGCACCTATCCACTATCCACTATCCCCAAAACCCCCTCATCCCATTACTTGGCTCTAAACTATCCTACACCAGGCCGTCTGCCTGGGAGGATGGAACCCCTTCTCTCAAAACTTCCTGTAGATCTTCTGCACTAAAATCTCTCACACCCAAATATTTATTTGCTGCTGCAACCACCACATCTAGCTTCTGTGATTTCCGCTCCATCAGTGCAGTGCAGTTGATCACCATGGCTATAAAGGCAATCCAACCTTACTAAAACTCATCCTCTCTGGCTCTTTCTCTTCAGGCCTACTCACTGGGGGCATCCCAGTCGATTCACTCACTCTTGGGTTATCCTCTACTCTCTTCACTACCTCAGCATAGGAAACGTTTTGCCCCACTCGAACTCAGTCAATCTCAACCTGTCTCTCTCTCACAGGGCACTTCGGATCCCCAGCTGCATGGGCGCCCCCACAGTTGACACACAGTGTTTTCTCTATCACAACTGTACACTCCCTCTGACTATGCCCTCCTGCACATTTCTCGCATCATGGGATCTCCCTTCTACACACTGCTGCATCATGTCCGAATCTTTTAAACCTAAAGTACAGAAGCGGGTTCGAAACATAGGCCCTCACAGAACAGCAAATATAACCTAATCTGACTTTATCAGGTAGAAACTCTGTGTCAAAGTTTAACAAAACAGACATCGGGTCTACGTCTCACCAAACGGCGGGCGTCACAAATACTAGGAATATTCCTTTTCATTTGATCCACCTCTACACTCAACGCTACCTCACTGATCACCCCTTTTAGCAGCGCCCTGCTCTGGAAAGCAAATCACACCACAGGTTAAGCCCCGAGCTGCGTGACTCGAAGCGCAGATAATACAAAAAAATACATAATAATTCCACTTCTCGAAACATTCACAGATGTAACCATTCCCAGTTTGTCTTTTACCCTGCTTGACACAACGTATGGATCGGCCAAAAAGAAGGAATCCACTCTTTCCAAAAAATCTACCAGTCCAAAATTATCTCTGGTAGGACTCTCAGGGCAAATGTTGGAATACTCTATCACACCTCTCGTCGCAGGTAGGTCCACTATATCCTAGACTGGCTCAACTTCAGAGCGCTCACCACTGCCGACTGACTCCATTTCGAGATTATCACGGTTCTCAAGAGAGCAGGCAGGCCTATAAATAAGATTACTTGGTTTGCAATCAGGAGATGTAGGTATGTACACCTCGAACGAAGGTGTATACTCGGGAGACAATCTCTGATCTTAACAGCGGCATTCTTACGCTTTCGCGTCATCGCACTTCCCTGAATGTATTCTCTACCCCTCCCATTCAGGGAGTTCTAGGAACCTGAGCCGCTTTGCACCCGTCTATGGCCTGTGATGTGAATGGGCAAAAAAGTGTGAGGGAGCGCCCTTCTCAAATCGAACAGTAATCTGCGCCACTTGGTCATGTTGTCAGCAGTAACAATAATAAGAATATATTTATTGTATATAGTGGCTTTCATTGCAAGTATAATCTCAAAGTCGCTTAAAAAACAAAATAAACAAAAAACAATTAAAATAAAACAAATGTAGGAATAGGGCTATTCTTGGTCAATGGTCTCCACAGCTTTAGATGATAGGCCGTTCAGAAGGGTAGTATCTTGAGAGGAGGGAGCATAGATGGTACAGCAAGGCAGGGAGGTAGAGACATCTGACAGACAGGTAACGGAGCTCTTCATCATCCGGCACCTCGTCGTCTTCGATAGTCACAGCTCCTCCTCCGTAGGTAGGCTTGATTGTCCACTACTGAAATGTAGCACACATCTTGATGATGCTTCGGAGACTGTAAAAGCGCCAATATAAGACCACCACACCTCAGCAGTGGTTCAGAAAAGCCCCCTACGAGCCTCTGCATCCCCTCACACAACAGTCCACTTCCCTCTAGGAACTGGGGCAAGGGGGCAAAAAGCCGATGCTGTTGGTCTGGTGTTGCGGCATCATTCAAATCATAGCAAGCTAGCTAGCTATCCAAGCCAAATATAAACTGACTTGCTTGACATAATCAGTCCTGCAATTCCGTGGGTCACCACCAATGATTTATATATACATCATTGGTCACCACCAGATATTTAAGTTCATCTATCAACAAGTTTTCAAAACCCCAAAAAGTTTGTTAAAAAAATGCTATAAAAAACACTTACTCATTCAAGGGTTTTTCTTTATTTTTACTATTTTCTACATTGTAGAATAAGTGAAGACATCAAAACTATGAAATAACACATGGAATCATGTAGTAACCAAAAAAGTGTATATATTTTATATTTGAGATTCTTCAAATAGCCACCCTTTGCCTTGATGACAGCTTTGCACACTATTGAGATTCTCTCAACCAGCTTCATGAGGTAATCAGACCCTCCACTCAGTACTTTGTTGAAGAACCTTTGGCAGCGATTACAGCCTCGAGTCTTCTTGGGTATGATGCAACAAGCTTGGCACATCTGTATTTGGGGAGTTTCTCCCATTCTTCTCTGCAGATCCTCTCAAGCTCTGTCAGGTTGGATGGGGAGCATCGCTGCACAGCTATTTTCAGGTCTTTCCAGAGATGTTCGATCGGGTTTTCAAGTCCGGGCTCTGGCTGGGCCACTCAAGGACATTCAGAGACTTGTCCCGAAGCCACTCCTGCGTTGTCTTGGCTGTGTGCTTAGGGTCGTGTTCCTGTTGGAAGGTGAACCTTCGCCCCAGTCTGAGGTCCTGAGCGCTCTGGAGCAGGTTTTCATCAAGGATCTCTCTGTACTTTGCTCCGTTCATCTTTTCCTCGACCCTGATTAGTCTCCCAGTCCCTGCCACTGAAAAATATCCCCACAGCATGATGCTGCCACCACGCTTCACCGTAGGGATGGTGCCAGGTTTCCTCCAGACGTGACGCTTGGCATTCCGGCCAAAGAGTTCAATCTTGGTTTCATCAGACCAGAGAATCTTGTTTCTTATGTTCAGAGTCCTTTAGGTGCCTTTTGGCAAACTCCAAGCGGGCTGTCACGTGCCTTTTACTGAGGAGTGGCTTCCGTCTGGCCACTCTACCATAAAGGCCTGATTGGTGGAGTGCTGCATAGAGGAACTCTGGAGCTCTGTCAGAGTGACCACCGGATTCTTGGTCACCTCCCCCGACTGCTCAGTTTGGCTGGGCGGCCAGCTCTAGGAAGAGCCTTGGTGGTTCCAAACTTCTTCCATTTAAGAATGATGGAGGCCACTGTGTTCTTCAGGACGTTCAATGCTGCAGACATTTTTTGGTACCCTACCCCAGATCTGTGCCTCCACACAATCCTGTCTCGGAGCTCTACTGAGAATTCCTTCGACCTCATGGCTTGGTTTTTGCTCTGACACACCTGTCTATATAAGGTTACACAGTTGACAGTGCTGCCTTATATAGACAGTTGTGTGCCTTTCCAAATCATGTCCAATCAATTGAATTTACCACAGGTGGACTCCAATCAAGTTGTAGAAACATCTCAAGGATGATCAATGGATACAGGATGGACCTGAGCTCAATGTCGAGTCTGATAGCAAAGGGTCTGAATACTTATGTAAATAATGTATTTCTGTTTTTTATTTTTATTACATTTGCAAAAATGTCTAAAAACCTGTTTTCGCTTTTTAATTATGGGGTATTGTGTGTAGATTGATGAGGACATTTTTAGAATAAGGCTGTAAGGTAACAAAATGTGGGAAAAGGAAAGGGGTCTGATTACTTTCCCGAATGCACTGTAATTGACAAAGTCAACGTTTGAATGCAGGAGGGTTGTATCTCAATTATGCAGAATTTTGATCTCTACAATTTCCCTGTTACACCTAGAGAGTTCGCTACAGTTCGAGTCAGACCTCACTTTCTTGAGATATCCTCGCTTAGTCTAGTAGGAAAAATGTGTTTCTCCTTGCTGCCTCAGTACAATAATAGATCTAATACTTGCTTTATTTCAAAGCAATATTGTATCTATTCGTTATGTCAACATTTACTGGAATACATTTGGTTATTTGCATTCTATTTCTATGTTTGGGCTGTAAAGAATGACGTCATTACGCCGTGCTTGGCGTGCGTGGGGAGTGTGTGAGAGAGAGCGAGAGAGACACATATTTAACCCCTCAAACGCCGTGGCCAGTCGATTCAACAGATGCAAACAACGTTCATTTTACGGTACCTGATATGATCGACACTATACAGGAATATGTCAACCTAAATGATAAAATGCGGATGATATTAAATCGTTCGGGATCTAGCTCGCTAGCCAGTAGTAGCTGTGTTATCGTCTAGCTAACGTTCGTTTAAGTCGCAGTAACTGTTACCGAGGTGGAGTGGCTAGCTTGTCAGCTGGTGATGGTGAAACAGGAGGAGCGGTGTGAATGTAATACATTAATCATTAGCTAGCAAATGTAGCTAGCTGGCTAGATTATCACACTAGGTAGTCCTTCGCTATCAACTGTTCTGTTGTGAATGATCAATTACAACTGAGCTCTCTAGTCTAGTTAACGTTAGTTAGCTAGGTTTGCCATTCATTGCCATTATTGTCATCCAACGTGTCAATAAGTGCATTTTGGTCGTTTTGATCGACAAACTGTTGCTCAGCTAGCACAGCTATTGTTGACAAATCGCAAGGAAATGGTTTTGAGGAGCTGTTGTACATTTGGCCAAGTTTTAGTCTGGTTCCGACTTGGTTATGTGGTGCTGTTGTGGTTATGTGTAACCCACTTTCGGTGCGCACGGGCAGAAACTAAAACGGTGGTCCAAAAAGATGCAGAGTTTGATGTTACCTACAACGATACGGTTACGAGTGACAACCAAACCATCTATGCCTTCAATCACACCGTCTCCAGAAACAAGGTGAGTACATAGTTCAGGTCACAAATCCCACTTTGTTCTTCGATCCTGCTTTTGCACAAACCCCCACGGTATGGCGTTTGTTGCAGCCTAGTGCTAACACACCTGTTTCAACTAATCATGTTAGTACTAGGCTGCAATTAAACCTGCGCATCCGGTCCCCAGTACTAGGATTCAAGAACACTCAACTACTGTCTTGTTATGAGTAGCCTAATTTGGTTTTATAGTAAGATAGGATTGCGAAAAGTGATCAATACAAAACTTGAGTGTGCAGGTGTATGTTTGTGATGGGTGTGTGCGCGTATGTATTGTATGTTGTTTTACTTAGATACAGTGAGTTTCTCTAACCCTCTCTCCCTGCCCTGGCAGACGGAGGGGGTCCGTGTGACTGTGGACGTACTGTCGGAGGGGGCAGTGAGCAGTCCCATCCTGTTTGTGGTCAGACAGAAGCAGGCCGTGCTGTCCTTCCAGGTCCCCCTCATACTGCGTGGACTGTGAGTAGCCTACCCTGCTGGCACACCTGGGGTGCGTTCAGCAGGACACAATGTCATGGAACGTTCAGACCGAAGCATTATGATATGTAGAACAAACATGCATCTCTGACATGTAGAATAAGGACTCAAGTCGGCTCTAATCAAGACATTTCTATCTGCAACGTTCCACAATGTTGTGCCCTACTGAATGCAGCCCTGGCACATCCTGGTTCTGTCCCTGTATTATGTCACCACACCATTTTAATATGTCAATATCCATTTGAGATGCACCTGGGCATATTCATCTAGAGTGGAGAGGAAGTGTGATACATGGTTTGGTATTAAATTGTCAAGTTCAATCAAAGAAAACAACAGAAACCAACAGGCCATACAGTTGTGCAGCCTCGTCCTAGATGTTGTAGAGGTTTTGTTTCTCCTTGAGTGTGTTTTTGCTGTGTTTCATTATGTAGGCTAGATATATTGACTTAGTCGCGGGTTGAAGATACAATGAGCACCAAAAGTATTGGGACAGTGACACATTTTTGTTTGTTTTGGCTCTGTACTCCAGCACTTTGGATTTTAAATGATACAAGTGCAGACTGTCAGCTTTAATTTTAGGGTATTTTCAACCATACATAGTCCCCCCCCCCATTTTAGGGGACCAAAAGTATTGGGACAAATTCACTTGTGTATCAAAGTAGTCAAAAGTTTAGTATTTGGTCCCATTATCCTAGCACGCAATGATTACATCAATTTCTATTGGGCACAAAATAATCTGAAACCAAAACAAACAGCAAATGGGGGAACTATGTACAGAAAGTGCCGTAATTTCGAAATGGTTCACCCAATGTGGATGAAAATACCCTCAAATTAAAGCTGACAGTCTGCACTTCAACCGCATAGTCCTTGTATCATTTCAAATCCAAAGTGCTGAAGTACAGAGCCAAAACAAAATGTCACGGTCCCAATACTTTTGGAGCTCACTGTATGATAAACATTACAGAGAGATATGCAGTAGAAGTACTGAATGGGTCAACTGAAGGGAGTTGTGGCAGGGCAAGAAGACATACAAAGAAAAATAACTGCAAATCCTCTATCTGGCGGTTAGGAGTATTGGGCCAGTAACCGAAAGGTTGCTGTTCGAATCCCCAAGCCGACATGGTAAAATCTGTCGTTCTGCCCCTGAGCAAGGTCATTAACCCTAATCGCTCCAGGGTTGCCGTCAATGGATGATCCCTGGCCTTGACCCCACTCTCTGAGGGTGTCTCAGGGGGAGTGGGATATGCAGTGAAACACGACTATATAAGCACCCCCTAATTATTATATGATGTAGCCTAGGTCTAAGTGTTTAGCCTGAATGCGGAGTCTACCTGTTGGATCAGTGTATCATTTTAAAAAAATTATACAGTATCCCAGGGTCTCCCAAACATACAGTATCCCAGGGTCTCCCAAACTTGGTCCTCGGGACACGAAGCGGTGCTCGTTTTGGTGTTTGCCCTAGCACTACACAGCTGATTTTAAATAATCAACTAATCATCAAGCTTTGATCATTTGAATTAGCTGTGTAGTGCTAGGGCAAAAACCAAAACGTGCCCCCCTTGGGGTCCCGAGGACCAAGTTTGGAAAACGCTACAGTAGCCTGTCTTTCATGGCTTAATATAATCCATGGACTTACCAGAACATCCATGTCAGGTGATAAAGCCATCTAGTTGAGAGTGAGTCATCGTTGAACCTTGAACTTTCACTTCCACATAAGCATAAAGCATAGGCCTAATTTCCCATAGACACTAGCCATAATTACAGTACTTGCTAGGTTGTTGGGGTTTGGGAAGTTGCAGACCGTGGGTATTTGTCATTTACACAATTTTTTTTGTTAACACAATTTGACAGGCCAATTCTCAGTTCCTTTTTCAGCAGTGGTTCTTCTTATCATAATTTCCCCACCATTGGTACTGTTATGAGCTGTCTGCAATGGTCATGGTTGTTTAGTTCAACCTTAAAATGGCTTAGGCTGCGTAATATGAAATGGCACCCTATTTTCCCTATTTTTACATTTTAGTCATTTAGCAGATGCTCTTATCCAGAGCAATTTACAGCAGCAATTAGGGTTAAGTGCCTTGCTCAAAGGCACATCGACAGATTTTTCACCTAGTCGGCTCGGGGATTAGAACCAGCGACCTTTCGGTTACTGGCACAACGCTCTTAACCACTAAGCGCTACGTAAGTGCTATATAATATATATATATATATACACACACACACAGTGGGGAGAACAAGTATTTGATACACTGCCGATTTTGCAGGTTTTCCTACTTACAAAGCATGTAGAGGTCTGTAATTTTTATCATAGGTACACTTCAACTGTGAGAGATGGAATCTAAAACAAAAATCCAGAAAATCACATTGTATGATTTTTTAAAGTAATTAATTTGCATTTTATTGCATGATATAAGTATTTGATCACCTACCAACCAGTAAGAATTCCGGCTCTCACAGACCTGTTAGTTTTTCTTTAAGAAGCCCTCCTGTTCTCCACTCATTACCTGTATTAACTGCACCTGTTTGAACTCGTTACCTGTATAAAAGACACCTGTCCACACACTCAATCAAACAGACTCCAACATCTCCACAATGGCCAAGACCAGAGAGCTGTGTAAGGACATCAGGGATAAAATTGTAGACCTGCACAAGGCTGGGATGGGCTACAGGACAATAGGCAAGCAGCTTGGTGAGAAGGCAACAACTGTTGGCGCAATTATTAGAAAATGGAAGAAGTTCAAGATGACGGTCAATCACCCTCGGTCTGGGGCTCCATGCAAGATCTCACCTTGTGGGGCATCAATGATCATGAGGAAGGTGAGGGATCAGCCCAGAACTACACGGCAGGACCTGGTCAATGACCTGAAGAGAGCTGGGACCACAGTCTCAAAGAAAACCATTAGTAACACACTACGCCGTCATGGATTAAAATCCTGCAGCGCACGCAAGGTCCCCCTGCTCAAGCCAGCGCATGTCCAGGCCCGTCTGAAGTTTGCCAATGACCATCTGGATGATCCAGAGGAGGAATGGGAGAAGGTCATGTGGTCTGATAAGACAAAAATATAGCTTTTTGGTCTAAACTCCACTCGCCGTGTTTGGAGGAAGAAGAAGGATGAGTACAACCCCAAGAACACCATCCCAACCGTTTCTGTACCAAATATTAAGTTCTGCTTTTCCTATGGACCCTGCTCAAAAGTAGTGCAATTTATGACACTACATGGATGATTGGGATAGGGTGCAATTTTGGACGTGACCTAGTCTAATACAGGCCTTTTATGTTCTATGAGCTCAAGTCTGTCATCATGATTTGTATATTGAGCTACCCTCTTGGCCAGGCCTCCCTTATAAAAGAGGTCTTCTGACCTCAATGGGACTTCCTGGATGAATAAAAATGGAAACAGAAATGAGTGGAGAAGTATCTCTTTGCCCCCCCCCTCCTTGCCACAGGTACCAGAGGAAGTACCCCTATGCCCATGTGGGCCGAACGCTGTGCCAGCCCCCCACCCGCACCCTCACCGAGACCCAGTACTTCTTTGTGGACGTGTCCACCTTGTCCAGCTTGGGAACCCAGTACCAGCTGAGGATCAGCCGCGTGGACAGCTTCACCCTGCAGTGAGTCATCTTCATCAGGGATCATTACCATCATGCTAGCTAGCCGAGCGAATACGTGATATCTGATATCTGGTTGCGGAGCTGCATCACTTACACAGCCTCCCACAGCAGTACATATTCAATACTCTCAGTCATCATAGTGTATATCACTATCATGCTACTGCGCAGAGTTGGTCTAATTTGCATTGAATACTGCCTTCTTGCCTACACACAATCGTGACTGCCTATTTCTACAGCAGCATCACTCATAGATTAGAGATGGCGTACTGTATGTGTGACCTGACCTAATGTCTTCTTCATTACAGTACAGACAAAAAGTTCAGCTTCACTGCCTCACCATCCCAACCCCAGGTAAGAAACATAGTCACTCACACCCATACGCACACAGCATATTTCCCTTAAAACACTTCTACTGCACATGTGGCCATGAGAGGTGTGTGTGGGTGGAGAAGACGGTTGGGTACTACCTCCTTACAGTGCCTAAGTCTAAAGGCCAGGGCCAAGAAGGGGATTGAGATTAAAGAAGGAATGTGTGTGCGTGATCTGTTGAGGTGTTGCATAACAGAGATGTCGAGAAAATATATATTGTTACATCATACATTTTGTGTGTACACATGTTGTGCGTTTGATCCCTTTTTTAATTATAACTCTGTTTTTCTCTCTCAGTACTTCAAATATGTGTTCCCTGACGGAGTGGACACGGTCATCGTCAAGGTCAACTCTGAGATGACCTTCCCGTGCTCTGTCATGTCCATCCAGGACATACAGGTAAACTAACTTGACCAAACCTGTTCATTAGGCACCAGAGGTGGGACCAAGTCACTCTTATTCGAGTCACAAGCAAGTCTCAAGTCACAAGGTCCGAGTCTCAAGTCGAGTCCCAAGTAGAACAGGTCAAGTCCAAGTCGTGCATTCTAAGAGCGAATCGAGTGATACGTTTTCAAGTCAACTATTTATCGAGGCTACAGGACAGCCCTTTTCATTATTTAGTCTACAACACATTTTGATTAGCCTATGTAATTGTAAAATATGGACCTTGTAGCAGTCGTAAGGGCATGAAATCAGCGGAAGGCAAGGCAGGTTGAAGTGCTCAGTGTAGATGTATTTACAGGTCTTGGTGATCCAATGGTGAAAGTGCCATATCATACAAAATATACAAGTAGATTTACCAAATATACATGGGCAATAGCCCAAAAGAAATAGCCTCTGTATCAGGCTTATTAACCTGTCCTATCTGAATGGACACAGGTAGAGGGCAAGACTGTACAGCCTCGCCTTGAGAAACCAAATCGAATCTGTCTAACAGGAGCTCAAACAGGTAGACCTGCATGAATAATATAAGCACTTGGACCCCAGGACCATACAATTACCCAATTGGCAATTACAACCAATAAACTGGTTCTACAATGTAAAAGGCAATTTCCACATCCATTGTTACATTGGTACATTCGTCTTAATCAGATTGAATGATTATTAATGATATTTCAACACAATGCATACATGGAACAATCATTTTATCTTATTCAACGTTCTGACTACAAAGCATGGAGCGTAGGTAACGTAGCCTATTTCTATGCTCACTGAGGCGCGCACAACCAGAATGAGAGAGACTAATGGTGCTTTCAAGACAACTGGGAACTCTGAAAAATATGAGGTCAAATCATGACATCAGTGATCTTCAGGTCTGAAAGTCGGAGCTCTAGAAAGAGGCCCGAGTTCCCGAGATGGAATTCTGAGTTGGATGACCGTTCAAAACGATTTTTCCCAGTCGGAGTTCGTTTTTTTCAGAGTTCCCAGTAGTCTTGAACGCGGCAATAGGAAGACACGGAACCCGTACAAAGGAAACCATATATTTAATTAAATAAACAGAACTTCTACCTCATGAGTCTTGTGAATGTTCATGGGCACAGTAAACATCACGCCACTCAGTGGGTAAGAAATGGTTGGCAAAATGAAAATGTATCGTAGTCCTATGAAACAGAAATGTGTATGTGTTGCAATAAACGGTACGGGTTTGGAATTATTTCAAATGATTTTAGTATTAGATGGAATATAGATTAACCACAGGGCCTATGCACGTGTGAAAGCAACAGCAAACATGTCAACAAGAGGAAAAAAGCACTTGCCACTGGCGGGAGTTTGGAGAGTGCAATTGAAGAGCCTCGCCAATGGTGCGTCTTCGCCACAGTAATAATTCATTTTAACAACAAATTCCAAATGCAAGCTTCATGAATAAATGATCAATTTCAAGCAATTGTTACATACCAAAAGACCAGTAAGCCTATGCTAGTCATTGTTACCCCATTGCTGATGAGCTTGCAAAGTAAACAGTTAATATTCTTGATCACCAAACAATTTTTGGAGCTGCATATTTATTTATTATGGCAATCCTCTTCCTACAGTTTGAGGTTTGCGCTGCACCCGATCCTATAGCTTGTACAGCAAATCAGCAATCAGTTTGCTAGCTCACCCAACCTGTGTTGATTGAGTTTGCTGGTCCAATCAGAGTGCAGAGTGTGCGTTTCACTAGCCAATCTGTTTTAGGTTTTTTTGCAAGGGCGATGCTGCAGGTACTGTCTCTGGCTGCGTGTGGAATAATCCACGTAGACTCTGTGCCACAAAATGAGTGACAGACAAAACATTACAAAACCTGGCCAGATAAATTCAAGTAATCAGTCTCAAGTCAAAGTTGAGTCCCGAGTCTTGAGGCTCCAAGTCAAGTCATTTTATTTTATATTGAGTCTCAAGTCATCATGTGACTCGAGTCCACAACTGTTAGACACCAATCGGAAGTAAGCAAACTGAAACAGGGACTGTTGAGAAACGCTAAAATAAACACTTGTTTTAGTTTTCTGTTGCAAAACTTTTTGCTATGGTGTACCCTAATGAATATGGCCATGACCTTAAGTCTACCTGCATCTACTGACCTCACATGACATCACCGAACTGTGGTCCCTCAGCCTATTGTCTCCAATGGCTAGCCTCCGATTCATCACACAAGGACAGTGTTGAGTTCATTCTGAGCACCCCAGCAACCACTGACTAAACAGCTGCGAATTAACTTGTGAAATGCACTTGTTTTACCCTAAAGCAGCTTGAAGCTGTGAAAGAGAGGTGTTACTAAAACGCAATGTAAAGCTCTGTCTGGTGTGTAATCAGCTCACACTAGGGGGAGGGGGGTTCTCTGAAATATAGGCCAATCTAGAAATCTGCATTCTACACACTTGATGGGGAGTGCAGAGGTGCCTGTTGCCGTGGCAACCACATTAGCCCTGGCTGCACCTGTTCTTCACTCAGGCAGACACACGCATACAGACAGACACTCGTTCCTCTCTGATTGCGAAATTCTGTGTTCTACCTTCTCAACAGTGCCCAGTGTATGACTTGGATAACAACGTGGCCTTCATTGGCATGTATCAAACCATGACCAAGACAGCTGCCATCACTGTCCAGGTAAAATACACACAAACACACACACTGGAGAGATCAGGTAATTGTTCAATAAATACATTTTTACAACTCACTTGCCACAATGGACAACCATTGAATCTACTCTCTCTCTCTCTCTCTCGTTCCCCCTCTCCCCTTTTCTTCTCTCGTGGCTCTCAGAGGAAGGACTTCCCTAGTAACAGTTTCTATGTGGTGGTGGTGGTGAAGACTGAGGACGAGGCATGTGGGGGTCCCCTGCGCTTCTACCCCCTCCGTCCAGATGAGCTCACCGATGCCGGCAACCGCAGTAAAACTCTGGACGTGGTCGTCTCACCTGCTATCAACTGTGAGTCACTCAGCCAGGCAGGCCAAAGGACTTCAGCGCCATCAAACAGTACATCAATGTAGCAGAGAGAAATGTTAATGTCGGACTCTCTTTCTATTCATCTCTGTTTCTCTCTAACACCTTCTCTCTCTTTCGCTCTCTCTCTCGTCCTCTCTCTCTTGCTCTCTCTTCCGCTCTCCTTTCTCGGTCTTCCTCTCTCTATCCCTGTCTCTCTCCCCCTCTCGCTCTCCCTCTCTATCCCCCTCTCTCCGTCTCAGCGGATGTGTACGTGATGGGCATGCTATTCTGCCTGAGCATCTTCCTGTCCTTCTACCTGCTCACCTTCCTGGTGGCTTGTGTGGAGAACAAGAGGTCTGTTGATCGCTTCACTGTCAAATACAGTAAGTACATTATTTCATACACTGTCATATAGAGGCTTTGGAACTCAAGTGTGTCTCTCTGGGTCTTTTCTCTGGTCAGGATGCACAGGAGGAGGGAGGGGCTTCTGAACCCAGTGGTCATGTCGCCCACGGAGACAGGTATCCCAGCAACCCACTACAATGGCACATTCCAGAAGGGTGTACAGGGGAGAGAACTATCTCTGTAACTCCGTATTTAAGATTGAAAATGTGTTTAAGATGGATGCGTACCATTAACAGTTGCCCCATCAGATGAAGGATTACTGATCTATTTCTCTAGGTTTTATATTTGAATTTGTCGATTTTGCTTTCTCCCCATGCTAATCTTTGGCTCAGCCTCTCTACTGGGTAAGAATGGAGTTGGAGTAGTGAGATATTGCCTGTGACTGAGCTTCTCGCACAGTTTCACTCTACTTATTACCCTTCGTGCACGCTATATACATTATTACACCCATCTCAGTCATTATCACCAGTATGATGTCATCCAGTGGAGGGATGACAGCTTATCATCTGGGTGGATGAGGAATCATCATCATCATGCATGTCTAATGAATGACCTGCACCACTGTTGGGGTCAATTCAAATTCAGGAAGTGATTTCATTTTAAAATATGGAAAAACATTTGAAATATATATGTTCTCCTTCTCAGTTTGAGAAGTCATTGAAAATACAAGCCCCTTTTTCAATTATTGATTTTGAATTTCAGTTTACTTCCTGAGTTGCCTGACTTCACAGCATTGTCCAGTGCATGGATTGGATGGTCATGCATTGGATGATATGATGGTTACGGTGGTTTGGTTCCAATGGGAGTCTGACTGAAAAGGACTTCTGTTTCAATAGTCACTCCTTATCTCCCATTGGACTCACACCCTAGGGTACTGATTAGCACCCTTGCATTAACCCTTGCCTCACTTTTCAACCTTGCCTCTGAACCCACAGGGCATGGTGTGGCCTCTAACTAACCATTCATCTAGATGCTGTGGTAGTGTGTAGACTACTAACTGCTATGGTGTCATGTGTTTTGTGTGTGTGTGTGTGTGTGTGTGTTTGTTTGACATTATCTCTACCTGTTACCACAGGAAAACCAGGTGTGACTCCAGTCTCCCCCTATGGATACGGTTGCTTTGGTGAGTGAGTGTATGCTCATTTACTTCACAAGTGTGACGATGTTTGAAATGTTTTGAATGAAAATATTGTCAATCAATGTAGCTAACTGAGGATGACAGGGATTCCACTGTTGTAGTTCTGTTGTCTCATTGCTTTGTTTCTGCACATGGTTTTCCTCGTGAATGTGCATTCCTTCCCTACTTCCCACAAATCTAAAAGCATTGGATTGGGGGAGTCATGGACTAGTTGCACTTTTCACCATATTTCTTTTACCAGTAATTTCCTTTCAAATCAGTGAAGGGAAGTGAACAAGCACACACTTTGGGAGGAAGGAGAGATAATTGGGACATAGCCAAAGTGAATACTTACACCACTTCAAGCACTCTTTAATGTTGTTTCCCTCTGGTATTGTTTCTACAGCGGACAACGCCAGCACGTTGAGCTCAGAGGCCATCACAGACAGCATAGCATCAGATGCCAACTACGGATACATGGGTATGGATCAGAATGACCAAATACAGATGCATATTTACACACACACACACACTTATACTGTACACACACCGATGTGCAAATACACACAATGGGTCAACATGGCACAAAATCCGTCTTCAAGTTATGTTGCACAGCATTTCACCACCAAACTGGCCCTTGATTGGAGGGCTGCAGAGTGCTCTTGTTTCTTATTGGTTTATCTGTGTTTGTTTATCAGGACAGGAGACTTTGAAACGCAGACCATTCCTAACTGCCATCCACCACGTAGCCATCTGCATTGGTGACACTCACTGCCTTAATCAGCCAGCCAATTGCATCCCTTCACTGTATGAATCGGCACCATGTCAATCACTTTGGAATGTGTTCAAGATCTATACGCCTTTTGATGTAATTTAATGCTCTGATGACCACAGATGGAGACCTCAACCAAAACGATCACATATGGTCAACAATCATGTTTGACTGTATGCGGAGATAATGATGGAATGTTGAGGATGATTTCAATGATACATTTTGCAATTATCAGGAATGCGTCATTGGGCAGAATCACCAATCTATTTAATACGTCCCAAATCAGAAAAAAAAAAATCTAAGCCGTAAAACATAAAAACTATAAAATCGAGAAATATAACCCTCAGTCACTGACAAACTTAGTTACTGTTTCCTCTCTCTCTCTCTCTCTCTCTCTCTCTCTCTCTCTCTCTCTCTCTCTCTCTCTCTCTCTCTCTCTCTCTCTCTCTCTCTCTCTCTCTCTCTCTCTCTCTCTCTCTCTCCGTCTCTCAGAGCGTTCGTTGGAGAGTGTTACGGGTCGTAGTCGTCAGGAGTCTCTGAGCTCAGTAGAGGAGGATGACTATGACACGTTGGCCGACATCGACTCGGACAAGAACATCGTCCGCACCAAGGTCTGGCCCGTCCCCCCTCTACCTCTCCTCCCCTGTGCATCACTCAATATTATACTCATCTTCTGTTGTTTTTGTTTACTTTTTCCCTCCCAATGAAACTCTTGTGGTCGCTTGTCCTTTTGCAGAAGTACCTGTGTGTGTCGGACCTCGCTCGCAAGGACAAGAGGGTTCTGAGTAAAAAGTACCAGATCTACTTCTGGTGAGTGGGACTGAGAGTTACCTCAAAACCTGTACATCAATGCTGGGGCTATAACCCTATGGCACCCTCCACTCTATCAGTACTCTAGTCAAATGCATGATAACAAATCAAATGAAAATGTATTTGTCACATACATGTGTTTAGCAGATGTTATAGCGGGTGTAGCGAAATGCTTGTGCTTCTAGCTCCGGCAGTGCAGTAATATCTAACAAGTAATATCTAACAATTTCACAACAATTAGCTTGTGATCAGTTGCTTATTTGGATAGGGAAGTAAGTTTGTTTTGTATCAGTCAGAGTGTATAGTAATTGTACAACTATCAGTGTCATCAAATCAAATTTTATTGGTCACATGCGCCGAATACAACAGGTGCAGACATTACAGTGAAATGCTTACTTACAGCCCTTAACCAACAGTGCATTTATTTTAAACAAAAAAAGTAAGAATAAAACAACAACAAAAAAGTGTTGAGAAAAAAGAGCAGAAGTAAAATAAAGTGACAGTAGGGAGGCTATATATACAGGGGGGTACCGTTGCAGAGTCAATGTGCGGGGGCACCGGCTAGTTGAGGTAATATGTACATGTGGGTAGAGTTAAAGTGACTATGCATAAATACTTAACAGAGTAGCAGCAGCGTAAAAAGGATGGGGTGGGGGGGCAGTGCAAATAGTCCGGGTAGCCATGATTAGCTGTTCAGGAGTCTTATGGCTTGGGGGTAGAAGCTGTTGAGAAGTCTTTTGGACCTAGATTTGGCACTCCGGTACCGCTTGCCGTGCGGTAGCAGAGAGAACAGTCTATGACTAGGGTGGCTGGAGTCTTTGACAATTTTGAGGGCCTTCCTCTGACACCGCCTGGTATAGAGGTCCTGGATGGCAGGAATCTTTGCCCCAGTGATGTACTGGGCCGTACGCACTACCCTCTGTAGTGCCTTGCGGTCGGAGGCCAAGCAGTTGCCATACCAGGCGGTGATGCAACCAGTCAGGATGCTCTCGATGGTGCAGCTGTAAAATCTTTTGAGGATCTGAGGACCCATGCCAAATCTTTTTAGTCTCCTGAGGGGGAATAGGCTTTGTCGTGCCCTCTTCACGACTGTCTTGGTGTGTTTGGACCATGATAGTTCGTTGGTGATGTGGACACCAAGGAACTTGAAGCTCTCAACCTGTTCCACTACAGCCCCGTCGATGAGAATGGGGGCGTGCTCAGTCCTCTTTTTTTTCCTGTAGTCCACAATCATCTCCTTTGTCTTGGTCACGTTGAGGGAGAGGTTGTTGTCCTGGCACCACACGGCCAGATCTCTGACCTCCTCCCTATAGGCTGTCTCATCGTTGTCGGTGATCAGGCCTACCACTGTTGTGTCGTCGGCAAACTTAATGATGGTGTTGGAGTCGTGCCTGGCCATGCAGTCATGGGTGAACAGAGAGTACAGGAGGGGACTGAGCACACACCCCTGAGGGGCCCCCGTGTTGAGGATCAGTGTGGCAGATGTGTTGTTACCTACCCTTACCACCTGGGGGCGGCCCGTCAGGAAGTCCAGGATCCAGTTGCAGAGGGAGGTGTTTAGTCCCAGGATCCTTAGCTTAGTGATGAGCTTAGAGGGCACTATGGTGTTGAATGCTGAGCTGTAGTCAATGAATAGCATTCTCACGTAGGTGTTCCTCTTGTCCAGGTGGGAAAGGGCAGTGTGGAGTGCGATAGAGATTGCATCATCTGTGGATCTGTTGGGGCGGTATGCAAATTGGAGTGGGTCTAGGGTTTCTGGGATTATGCTGTTGATGTGAGCCATGACCAGTCTTTCAAAGCACTTCATGGCTACAGACGTCAGTGCTACGGGTCGGTAGTCATTTAGGCAGGTTATCTTAGAGTTCTTGGGCACGGGGACTATGGTGGTCTGCTTGAAGCATGTTGGTATTACAGACTCAGTCAGGGACATGTTGAAAATGTCATGGCGGTTAATGTCAGTGTTCCTCTCATCAGGAATATTGCCACCATAGGTGTGTTCTACGCCCTCCCTGTCATCCAGCTGGTCATCACTTATCAAACGGTACTGTGTGCTACCCTCACTCACACTCCAACTGCAGATTTACTACATTATTACAGAGTTATAACAAGTGCATTTGTAGTGTGTAAAGGAATTGCCATCAAGTGAGTAGATATGACTGTAGAATCCACACATGGTGGGTAGTGTGTTGTTGTTGATATGTTCCTCTCTCCTCCAGGTTGTCAACGTGACAGGAAATCAGGACATCTGCTACTACAACTTCCTGTGTGCACACCCCCTGGGGAATCTGAGGTGTGTGTGTGTGTGTAATAACGGAAAACGCCTATGGCTGTGCATGTAATGTATGACTTGTATCATTCATGACATTCCTTCTCTACCCTCTGGTGTGCAGTGCCTTCAACAACATACTGAGTAACCTTGGTTACGTGATGCTGGGCCTCCTCTTCCTGCTCATCGTGCTGCAGAGAGACATCATCCACAGCAGAGCGCTGGACCACAACGACCTCAACGCGCTGGTGAGAGATCAAACTGCGATGGTGCTTTTGTTTTTATATATTTTGGGGGGTATTTTGTAGTTGTCTTTTATTGACAGGTGTAGATTAGAGTATGTGACGGGTAGAACTATGACAGGGATACAGTACAGAGGAACTGGGGGATCGAACCGCTGCCTCCAGGGGCAATATGTGGTCCAGGGGTGGCAGCACAACCTCTAAACCAACCCCTGGCACAGATAGTGTGTTATAGCAGTGGGATGCACAATAGAACATGAAATGCACACATATTGGTATTTCCATGTATGGAATTCATATCACCACCCATGATGTTGAAATTAGGGTTTTGTCCAAATGATATTTCCTACAGACTATGGAATGTTCCATACCAGTAAGCAGGTTTCCATCCAAACTTTTTATGTGAGTAAAGTACATTTCACGACATGCCTGATGGAAACAGCAAATTTGTCGGTAAACTTTCCAAATGTCGACGAAACTAAATATGCTAGACAAGGTGGGTTTTATGGGGGTTTTGTGTAGGTCAAATTAATTATGTAAGAAATTTCGGTGGAAATGCCTTTTATGCGCAAATATTGATAAAATAACCATCATATCAAAGTAAACTTGGAGTCATGCAATGATATGTTGTGTGGTCCTCCCACTTGATTAGGGAAAGCATGCGGCTTATTAGGCTACAGATTAAATAAGTTATGATGAATTTCACAGGGTTTTGATGAGCTTGAGGCTCCTTTCCAATAACTATCTTATTCTGGTGACATGATGATTGATGTTGGCTGTAAAAATAAAAAAAAGTAAAAATTCTCGCTCTTTTGTCGATAAAATCTCATGTAGGCTATGCCCGCACTGTATCTGCCAGCTGTTGGCTAGAGCGCTCGTGCCAAGACCATAGTGGGCACATTCCCTATATAAAGGAACATTTTTAGTGACAAAACCATCAGTAGAGTTGAAAATGTGATGGAAACCCATTTAATTTGTCAAATGTAACCGCAAAAGTTATTTTTTGTGTACTGCATCATCAAAGAAAAAAATGTATGTCCACAACTCTGGTATGCTCCCAGGGTGATTTAATCAGACGCACAATAAAGACAACGTTTCCATCTGAGTTGGCTCTTCGTCAGGTCATACACCACTGTGAAACACACCTACTTAAATAACCTCTAGAGGCATAAACATTGGATATGCATATTGTTCTCTTTTCACTACATCATCACACAGTCTTTTATCCAATGTTGGTGGGAAAATGTGCATATTTTTTATGCGGATTTTAGAATATTTGCATGAAAATCTGTCGCCAATTGGATGGAAATCTAGCTAGTGACAATTATATCATTTCGAGCCTCTGTCTCTCCCTCCCTGCCGGCCTCCAGGAGTGTGGCATCCCTAAGCACTTTGGGCTGTTCTACGCCATGGGCACAGCTCTGATGATGGAGGGGCTGCTGAGTGCCTGCTACCACGTCTGCCCCAACTACACCAACTTCCAGTTCGGTAAGACTGAGAGACTAATGTCATAGTTGGATAATTGGGAGATCCTGAAGATACTGTAAAACAAATCCTCAATAGATGGGACTCACAATCAGCCTAAGTCCCAGATCGGTTCATGTTGTCTTGCCAACTGCATTGCTGTGACTGCAAGATGGCACAAACAGATCTGGGACTCGGGCTACATCACAATAACTGTACTGTAAGATATTCTGTATTGTAAGAAATGTCATTAATGTCACCCTTTCCTCCTCTGTCTCCCTGTCTGTCAGACACCTCCTTCATGTATATGATAGCTGGGCTCTGTGTGCTAAAGCTATACCAGAAGAGACACCCAGATATCAATGCCAGCGCTTACACTGCCTACGCCTGTCTGGCTGCTGTCATCTTCTTCTCTGTGCTAGGAGTGGTGAGTGACTAGGGGCATGGACACTGGCAGAGACTGGCAGAGGCAGACAGACAGAGACAGACAGGTAGAGAGAGGCAGAGACAGACAGGTAGAGACAGGCAGGCAGGCAGAGACAGGCAGGCAGGCAGAGACAGGCAGACAGGCAGGCAGGCAGAGAGAGGCAGGCAGGCAGGCAGAGAGAGGCAGGCAGGCAGGCAGAGAGAGGCAGGCAGGCAGAGACAGGCAGACACACAAAACACCCAACAGTAGACTTTCTGCAAGTGTGAAATTCCTGATGTATCCTGATGATGGAGGTGTGTGTGTGTCTACCTGTGTGTGTTGTGTCCAGGTGTTTGGGAAGGGCAACATGGTGTTCTGGATCGTCTTCTCTGTCATCCACATCCTGGCCACCATGCTGCTCAGCACCCAGCTCTACTACATGGGCCGCTGGAGACTGGGTAAGGAGTCAATCAATCACATTTATTTATTTGTTATTTTTAAAAGCCCTTTTTACATTAGCAGTTGTCACAAAGTGCTTTACAGATACCCAGCCCAAAACCCCAAAGAGCAAGCAATGCAGAGGCAGAAGCACAGTGGCTAGGAAAAACAACCTAGAAGGCAGGAACCTAGGAAGAAACCTAGGAGTAAGGGCTAGTAACATTACAGGGGCTAAGGACAGGTGTCAGTCTATTTGTTTGTGTTTCAGATTCTGGCATCCTGCGCAGGATTGTGAATGTGATCTACACCGACTGTATCCGCCAGTGCAGTGGCCCCATGTATATTGTGAGTATACATCAGGGGAGAACTACTGCCCCCTCTCATTGAAGACCCGGAAGTTCAAGGCCGACCGCGGTACTGCAAGCATTGTTTGCATAAAACACGATCCTCCATTATAGTGAATGGAAAAATGACAATCTTCGTGGTCAATCTTTGTGTAACTAAATACAAATGTTTTGAAGACAATCATGGTACCAATAATTGCTTCTAATGAACCAGATGTACAGTATGTCCTTGAACCAATTTTATTTTTAAATCACACACAGAAGAAGTTTAATTTAGTTTCTAATGGCAGCCTTCTGTAGCCCGGTTGGCCTTCAACTTGAGTTACTCCGTGAGAGGGGGCAGCACTGAGCTAGGCTGCAACGTCACTTCCTAGAGTAGCTCAAACTGCGCATCTTATGTCTCCATGAGACGCCATCTTAACCGACTTAATTTGGCTTCAATACACTATTGAGTCATCACATAGGAATTAATGGTGTCACGTGATCGATGGCTTTGTCCATTCATATATACGTTCAAGTAAACATTTCTCGCTCTCTCTCGCTCTGTGTTAGGACCGAATGGTTCTGCTGGTGATGGGAAACATAGTGAACTGGTCTCTGTGAGTATTTCCTTCATTCACTCACGATCTTATTCAGACTGGACTGCCTTTACTGCAGTGTTCTTTATATGTGACACATTTTTTGATTATTTTGTTTTCGGTCAGGTTTGCAAGGTACAATACAGATCTGAAATCTTAATTTGATCACTCAAATTGCATTAGGGTTTAAAGTGCATTAGGGTTTAAAAAGGCTTCTTAAGTTTGTAATTTCCACTTTAAAATGTCAGACTTGATTTGCCTTAACGAAAAATGTATCAAACCCTACAAAAATGTCCATTAATTATAATCCACATAATAATTCACATTTCCTGTTGCTGAAGGATTTTTTTCCTGCTGTGAGAAACGGGGTCAAATTAAGATGGCAGATCTGTACATTGTTTGACATCATCATACAGTGTTCTTTATCAAAGGTCTTTCATACCTACTTTAAGTGATGAATGTATGTCCCTTTCTGTCAATGTGATTTATTGCAAGGTATCCATTTACTCTGTAGAATAGTCATTACACACCCACATCTATGGGTGGAGACTTTAGTAGAGTAGACAACTCATCACTGTTGTGTTCTGTCTGTCCAGAGCTGCCTATGGGTTACTAAAGACGCCCAATGACTTTGCCTCTTACCTGCTGGCCATCGCCATCTGCAACCTGCTACTCTACTTTGCCTTTTACATCATCATGAAGGTGTGCGTGCTGGGGGAGCGTACCGGGGGCCTTCAGATGCGGCTTGTGGGCGTCCTAGAGCAAACTGGAGAACGCCTTCGTGAGAGTCTCATCTTTCATAATACGTTCGGACGCTACAGACGTTTCTGTTAGAAGACCTATTTTTCGGGATGTCTTGTGGTCTGACAAACACCGCTCTAGCTTTGCCACCTTTCACCGCAGATGCGGAAGGGCGATATTGGTGGATGCGGCGGATTGAGACACAGCCCATGCAAACGATGTCTCTAGCTTAAACAGATGGATTTTGTTATGTTAATTAGATTTCCGCGGGGGCGCGGAAATTGTAGGCTAAGGGTTAAAAAATGTATAATAAATATTATCTTAACTAACTTCTACAAAATAATGATCTGTCAATCAGTGTGATTCAGAGGCAGACAAGAAGCCCATCTCTGTAGCTCCAACACCCTCAGAATAGCTTCCAGTTTCCTCCATCGCCTCATCATCAAAGAGCCACTGCTCGTCACTCCTCCCACACCAAAGCCTTAGTCCTCTCATGGTGTATGATGTTCAGGGTCTCTCTCACTGTCACTCTGTAAAAGAGAAAACAGCGCCTCACCTCCCTGTACAAGTCGACCAGACGGCTCTGCTCCTGCTCAGGCAGGTACTAGCTGTTCTCAAGGACCATGGCCATGTGTCTGAGCTGGTTTGTCCAGTACTGCCCGCACTGCCACAGCTCTAGGCCGCCCACCTCCACATGTGCCATCCATGGTACAGCCTGGACAAATTGATGGTTATAGTCGCTCATTATTGAGAAATTGATCAATCTTCGAAAGCAGGAGCAAGTCACACTTCTAGTCTTGAGGTTGCTGCCACCAAAACTGAGTTCCAAAGCAACATTGGCACCTAACACCCAAACAGTCTCAATTCGAAACATTCCACTATAGTTGCTCTATTCAATTGTTGAAAAATGTCAATGTGTTTTTATGATTTAGAATCACCATGGGAATGAAAGATGATTTTAAATCATCAATGATTCTGACTCTTAGCAACAGACATTCTAAATTCAAACATTCTACCAAATGTGCTTTGTTTGATTGTTGACGTATTCTAACAGTATTGTATATAGAAAGTGCACATCTGACACATGAAACAACAGAACATGTTATGGGTGTACAATAACAGATTGTTGTGTTTCTGTGAATGTGTGTGTAGCTCCGCAGTGGTGAGAGAATCCAGTGCATGGCCATGGTGTGTATCCTCTTCACGGCCGTAGTGTGGGGCTTCGCTCTCTTCTTCTTCTTCCAGGGCCTCAGCACCTGGCAGGTCAGCATCACACACACCTACTACACACACACACACACACACACACAGACTATGACCTTACAGCTCAGGGGCTTCCACCACACGAGGAGAGGTTTGGGAACCCATGCCCTATGGGACTCATGGTATCTGTAGTACCACACTTGAAAACATCACATGCTCACACACTACATGTTTACACATCAGAGTTCATGGTCACATAACCCCAACATTCAAACGTCACTGTGGCGTTGACGGCTTTGTCCCCTCTCCCCCGCCGTAGAAAACCCCAGCCGAGTCCCGGGAACACAACCGTGATTGCATCGTGCTCTCCTTCTTCGACGACCACGACATCTGGCACTTCCTGTCTTCCATTGCCATGTTTGGTTCCTTCCTGGTGAGTTTGTATTTGTGTGTGTGTGCACGCCTCTGGGGAGGACCATGTGACACTCATTTCATAGTATTATAAAATGGAGGGGAATACACAGATTTCGCACCATGGTTATTGCACACGTCATTCAGTAATAGGAAATCATGAGTGGCTGAGCATTGATGAAGACCTCACATTCCTGAACCATACATACCCAGATAGTAACATCTCAGATAGTGACTGACTCCTTTGCTTTCTGACAGGTTCTCCTCACCATGGACGATGACTTGGACAATGTCCAGAGAGACAAGATTTTCGTCTTCTGAGAAAGCAACTCTCTGGCTCCGCCTTAATGTTTCTCGCTGGCCAATAGTGACACAGTGGCAACTGAGACACCCAATGGCCTGTCTCCCTGACTGCAGGCGGGCTGGGCATCTCTCAGCCAATCAAAGAGCTGGGGAAGGACGGTGCGCCGTCCCCCGAGTTGGAATCTGTATGGACACTCGGCGTGCCAATCAATGAGTCTGGTTCACCAGGACATGCTGACATTTCGCCTTACTGCCATCCAATATTACTGTGGTCGTTGTTTTCTTATTGCGGATAAAGATAATGTTAACAGTTCGAATTTATTTTATATTGCATCATTATTGACCTGCAACTCCATCAATGCATTTAAACATGTATAGACTGTGTGTGCCTGTGTATATATGATTGAGCATAAGTGTGTGTGTGTGTGTGTGTGTGTGTGGGAACACACTCCATGTCCAGTCTGTCTGTGGCCTTAAATGTTCTAATCATGTGCGTGGTCTGTATGTATGTATTTCTATGGCTCAGTCGGATACTGTACGCCGGATGGGAATGGATCTGTCCCTGAGCGATAAATGATTGTATTTTAATTACTAACTACGTCCTTAGCTGGTGAGGAAAATATATTTTGCACTGTAGGATAGGAACTTGGGACTATGTGATGGAACGGTTACTGAATAAAGTTTGTCCACGATGATAAAGGTGTATTCCTTAGTATAATCTGTCTCTAGGTTTTGCATTTGAAGTTACTGACAAGCAGGATATCCAGACTTGTAAGGACCTGGGTTGTGTTCATTAGGCACCAAATGGAAAATAATTGACAATCAGGGAGGGACTACCTGAACTCCAAGAAATTCAAATTTTTGTTGCAAAAAGTTAACTTTCTGTTGGGTGTCCCAATGAATACCACTCTGGTGATTACTTTGTAATGCAGACAAATGAAATACTGAAAAGCTGTAGCGTGAAAAAGAATGAAAGCTTGACATGAGCATTACGAATATACACTACTTTACATTTATTCAAATATTTTGTATAAAAATACTGTAAAAATTCCACAGCAATCTGCACAGTAAACACACTGTCTCTCTTACCAGAATTTCATACAGATTGAATGCTTAACAAGTCATTGTCTTGCCCTTGTAGTGGTTTATGGTATGGCTTGAACTTCTCATACAGTGGAATTAGTGATACAACATCTCTTATACAACCTGATACCATGACAATGATCTTTAGTCACTTATCACCTCACATCAGATATGAGGCTTAAATGTAAGATATCAACAGTATCTCACTCATAAACCTCAAGATGTCTCCTAATAAAGTGAAGCACCTACTGTATATGTAACAACTCTGCATTATGCTTTTGAAACATTTAAAGAGCTAGAGGCAAGAAATTGGGAAACAAACTGATTTGTTGACTACCGGGCTATTGTCTCCATACTCCCAAGCTATTCACCCTTGCATGCCAATGGAATGAAATTACAGAGACCACTGAAACAGCCCTAGTGTCCTCTCACTCTTCTGTCACACAATCACAGCTAAACCTGAGGACGAGGAGTTCACCAGAGGAGAGTGTCTTAAAAATGTTTCTTACAGTAATCTGATATGTAAATCTAGCTCTGGTCCAGGGCGTTAGTGCGTTCCTTTGGTCCACACATAGTCGAGGGGGGTTCCTCTAGTAACGTCCTGGACCAGAGCTAGAGGGATCCCTGCATTACTCAAAGTGAATTTTAAAAACCCATCTGTCCTTAGGCCTTTTTCAGTAACAGTACATCTTTATCGGCTTGTGTTGATCCTTGCTCTGTATGTAACTTCACCCCCCCCCCCCCCCCCTTTAGTAATGGTACACTTTAATCTGGTTGTTGTCATCCAGGCTCAGCTGGACCAATCCACTCATAGTTGGAGGGGTCCGATAACGCGTGAACAGAGGTCTGATGAAAGCCTCTTAAGGAAATGTACAAGACTGAACCAAGCTCCATTATAAGTTGTGCAATGTGGTGTGTGTGAGCATGTTTACAGAAGGATACACACTGGGGTCTTTCCTGCGCGTCTCCAGCCATCTCTTGTTGCCGTCTATCAGACTCTGTAGCCTCTGGCCATCCATCTCCACTGACTTAGGTTGCATGGAGGACAGACTACGAGCCTGCTCACTAACACACACAAACACACATGTCTTTACTACCTTCATTCAACAAGATAGACTACTGTGAAAGGGATGAGTGACAGTTGAGATTTAATTTTTAAAGAGGTGTTTCCATCATTTTCATGTTTCGTTATTTTCATATTTACCTTGCAGGACTGTACCCTGAATAAAGCGCATTGGTCCTCAAGGAACTGGTGGCTATGGGTTCAATAGCAGCCCCTATGGAAGAAGGGACAAAGAAGTGACCAACAACTCACCCTACCTGAAACTACACAGACAACACTGAACAGAGAGTTCTTCAGACCACAGAATTAAATAGAACGCATATTTAATATAACATATTTATATATGATATTGTATCTCTTTGGTTCAGATGTACCAGGGAAGAGCTTGGCCCAGCGGCTGTTGAGCAGGTTCTCAGAACTCAGTGGCTGGGTGGAGGTGCTGTGGAGGGGCCCAGACAGAGGCATGGAGAGCTGTGAAAGAGGCATTGAGGTGGGGGTGCGGGGCTGGGAGAGGGGCAGAGGTAGGGGGAGAGGCTGGTAAGGGGTCTGGCGTTGGGTCAGGGAGCCCAGGGCACCCAGGACTGTGTTGAGCTGGCCAGAGATGTGCTGAAGCGACTCGGCTAAGTGCTGCACCTTAGCTGGCACTGTGGGCTCCCCACCTGGAGAGGAGAAATAGAGAGGGAAAGAGAAAGGAAGAGAGAGCGCAAGAGAGAAAGGGAGCGAATGTCAGAAAACGAGAAGAAATAGGGAGAAAAGCAAGTGATGAGGTGTGAAAGAGAGGAAGGAAGGAAGGAAGGAAGGAAGGAAGGAAGGAAGGAGTGGGCGAAAGGGAAAAAAAGGAGGAACAATGAAGGGGGAGAGAGACTATGATAAGAATATGTCAGAAGAGGAGTACAGGCCTTCCTGTTATGAGTGTGTAAGGAATGAATATTCCCGTATGTCTGTCTCTCTCACCTGGGCCATCATGCCCGTTGCTGACGCTGGTCATATCTGATTCAGTCACATCAAAGGTCAACTTCCTATCAGCCGCTAGTCTGTCCTGGTCATCATAGTAGTGATGATGGGAGACCTGGGCAAGGGAAAGCAAGAGAAAAAACAAACTCCATACTTTTGTACTTGTCTTCTCTTACTATCACTGATTTTGCTGATAACTGCTTTATTGAGGAACGTTTTACTTACAATGATTGTCTTAGCTATCTACTTTAAGTTGAATGCACTGACTGCAACTCGCTCTGCACCACCTTCTTCCCTGACAACAGCCTTAATTCATTGGGGCATGGACTCTACAAGGTGTCGAAAGCGTTCTACAGGGATGCTGACCCATGTTGACTCCAATGCTTCCCACAGTTGTGTCAAGTTGGCTGGATGTCCTTTGGGTGGTGAACCATTCTTGATACACACGGGAAACTGTTAAGTGTGAAAAACCCAGCAACGTTGCAGTTCTTGACACACTCAAACCGGTGCGCCTGGCACCTACTACCATAACCCATTCAAAGGCACTTAAATATTTTGTCTTGCCCATTCACCCTCTTAATGGCACACATACACAATCCATGTCTCAAATGTCTCAAGGCTTAAAAATCCTTCTTTAACCTGTCTCCTCCCCTTCATCTACACTGATTGAAGTGGATTTAACAAGTGACATCAATAAGGGATAATGTCATGGAAAGACGTTTTGTCCACTCAGTGTATAGTGTGTTGTTTATTAGCAATCTATTCCAGTATGTATAACGTTATGTGCATGGTATATACAGTTGAAGTCGGAAGTTTACATACACTTAGGTTGGAGTCATTAAAACTCGTTTTTCAACCACTCCACACATTTCTTGTTAACAAACTATAGTTTTGGCAAGTCGGTTAGGACATCTACTTTGTGCATGACACAAGTAATTTTTCCAACAATTGTTTACAGACAGATTATTTCACTTATACAGTGGGGGAAAAAAGTATTTAGTCAGCCACCAATTGTGCAAGTTCTCCCACTTAAAAAGATGAGAGAGGCCTGTCATTTTCATCATAGGTACACGTCAACTATGACAGACAAAATGAGAAGAAAAAAAAATCCAGAAAATCACATTGTAGGATTTTTAATGAATTTATTTGCAAATTATGGTGGAAAATAAGTATTTGGTCAATAACAAAAGTTTCTCAATACTTTGTTATATACCCTTTGTTGGCAATGACACAGGTCAAACGTTTTCTGTAAGTCTTCACAAGGTTTTCACACACTGTTGCTGTTATTTTGGCCCATTCCTCCATGCAGATCTCCTAAGGAGCAGTGATGTTTTGGGGCTGTCGCTGGGCAACACAGACTTTCAACTCCCTCCAAAGATTTTCTATGGGGTTGAGATCTGGAGACTGGCTAGGCCACTCCAGGACCTTGAAATGCTTCTTACGAAGCCACTCCTTCGTTGCCCGGGCGGTGTGTTTAGGATCATTGTCATGCTGAAAGACCCAGCCACGTTTCATCTTCAATGCCCTTGCTGATGGAAGGAGGTTTTCACTCAAAATCTCACGATACATGGCCCCATTCATTCTTTCCTTTACACGGATCAGTCGTCCCGGTCCCTTTGCAGAAAAACAGCCCCAAAGCATGATGTTTCCACCCCCATGCTTCACAGTAGGTATGGTGTTCTTTGGATGCAACTCTGTATTCTTTGTCCTCCAAACACGACGAGTTGAGTTTTGACCAAAGAGTTCTGCTTTGGTTTCATCTGACCATATGACATTCTCCCAATCCTTTTCTGGATACAGGTAACGAGTGGAGGACAGAGGAGCCTCTTAAAGAAGAAGTTACAGGTCTGTGAGAGCCAGAAATCTTGCTTGTTTGTAGGTGACCAAATACTTATTTTCCACCATCATTTGCAAATAAATTCATTAAAAATCCTACAATGTGATTTTCTGGATTTTTTTTTCTCAATTTGTCTGTCATAGTTGACGTGTACCTATGATGAAAATTACAGGCCTCTCTCATCTTTTTAAGTGGGAGAATTTGCACAATTGGTGGCTGACTAAATACTTTTTTCCCCCACTGAAATTCACTGTATCACAATTCCAGTGGGTCAGAAGTTTACATACACTAAATTGACTGTGCCTTTAAACAGCTTGGAAAATTCTAGAAAATGATGTCATGGCTTTAGAAGCTTCTAATAGGCTAATTGACATCATTTGAGTCAATTGGAGGTGTACCTGTGGATGTATTTCAAGGCCTACCTTCAAACTCTGTGCCTCTTTGCTTGACATCATGGGAAAATCAAAAGAAATCAGCCAAGACCTCAGAAAAAAAATTGTAGACCTCCACAAGTCTGGTTAATCCTTGGGAGAAATGTCCAAATGCCTGAAGGTACCACGTTCATCTGTACAAACAATAGTACACAAGTATAAACACCATGGGACCACGCAGCCGTCATACCGCTCAGGAAGGAGACACGTCCTGTCTCCTAGAGATGAACGTACTTTGGTGCGAAAAGTGCAAATCATTCCCAGAACAACAGCAAAGGACCTTGTGAAGATGCTGGAGGAAACAGGTAAAACGAGTCCTATATCGACATAACCTGAAAGGCCGTTCAGCAAGGAAGAAGCCACTGCTCCAAAACCGCCATAGAAAAGCCAGACTACGGTTTGCAACTGCACACAGGGACAAAGATCGTACTTTTTGGAGAAATGTCCTCTGGTCTGATGAAACAAAAATAGAACTGTTTGGCCATAATGACCATCGTTATGTTTGGAGGAAAAAGGGGGTTGCTTGCAAGCCGAAGAACACCATCCCAACTGTGAAGCACGGGGGTGGCAGCATCATGCTGTGGGGGTGCTTTGCTGCAGGAGGGACTGGTGCACTTCACAAAATAGATGGCATCATGAGGAAGGAAAATTATGTGGATATATTGAAGCAACATCTCAAGACATCAGTCAGGAAATTAAAGCTTGGGTCTTCCAAATGGACAATGACCCCAAGCATACTTCCAAAGTTGTGGCAAAATGGCTTAAGGACAACAAAGTCAAGGTATTGGAGTGGCCATCACAAAGCCCTGACCTTTAATCCTATAGAACATTTGTGTACCAAATACTAATTGAGTGTATGTAAACTTCTGACCCACTGGGAATGTGATGAAAGAAATAAAAGCTGAAATAAATCATTCTCTCTACTATTATTCTGACATTTCACATTCTTAAAATAAAGTGGTGATCCTAACTGACCGAAAACAGGGAATTTTTACTAGGATTAAATGTCAGGAATTGTGAAAAACTGAGTTTAAATATATTTGGCTAAGGTGTATGTAAACTTCCGACTTCAACTGTAGTATAGGTGGTGTACAGGGGACAGGATATGTGGTATATAAAGGTTTTATGGTGTAGTAATAAGGCACCTCTTCAGCTACAGAGCTCTCTAGCTGTTGCAGTCTCTCCTCCTTCCTGCGTAGCAACGAGTTCCCCCTCTGTACAGTCACCCTCAACTCCTCCACGTCACTAGCCTCCTGAGGAACAGAAGAGGAAACGAAAGAGAGACCGTGACAGAGAGAGAGAGAGAGAGAGAGAGAGCGAGAGAGACGATTCAGGGACAGTTACACATGGAGGTCATGCATACTCTCTCACTTCATGAATGTTAAACACAAGGGCACCAGGGCAGAGTGTTGGAGTCTATAAGGGATAAGGAAGGGAGTCACACTTACACGTACCTGCTGCAGGTTCCTGTACATCTCCTGTGTGACCTGGGTTTGGGTGGTGGTGCTGGGGTACTGAGAGGAGCTGGACCGGGCCTGGGCTACCTGCAGCGCTGTCTGTCTCTCACTCAGACGACTACTCTCCTTCTCCAGGAAGCGCCGGGCCTTCTGCAGGGACAGCCCCTCAGAGGAGATATACTGACGCAAGCTGGGAGAGGGACAGGAAGAGAGAGAGCGAGACACAGGCACACACACATATAAGTTAGTCAGGATAGAAGGGCGCAACATGCATGCATGCTCTCACACACACACACACAGACACACACACACACACACACACACACACACACACATACTCGTCCAAGCTACTCTCGCTGTCTCTGGAGATGGGGGAGAGAGGAGGTTCTTTCAGGTCTTCCACATGCAGCACTTTCTCCCGTCCAGCAGTAGAGGGCGCTGCATCGCTATCCTTCTTCCTCTCCTCCTCCTCCTCCTCCTCCTCTGTTCTGTCCAGTCTAGAGGGCCTCTTGATCTCACTCTGCTCCAGATCACTGCAATATAATCATATGTTTGTCACTGAGAAAGTACTGGTATTGGGATAACATTGAACCATTAATACGACTAGATCAACCGCTTGACAAAGAGCTCAGTAGTCTGGCAAGCTAGACTTGAAGTCTCACACGAAGTCTGAAAGACATGCTACTGCCAGCTGCAAGGTGACAATGAAACAGGAGTGAACGGAGGTTGACCCCAACTAACAGGCCAGGTGTGTGTGTGTGCGTGTTTCAGTGGAGGCTGCTGATGGGAGGACGGCTCATAATAATGGCTGGAATGGAGTAGAATGGCTGGAATGGAATGGTATCAAACACATGAAAACCATGTCTTTGATACCATTCCATTCACTCGATTCCGGCCATTATTATGAGCCGTCCTCCCATCAGCAGCCTCCACTGGAGCGTGTGTGTACCTGACTCTGCGGCTCAGCTGATCACAGCGCTCCTGCAGCAGCTCCACCTTGCTCTCCAGCCGGTCCCGCTCCTCCTTCATCCTCCTGCACTCCTCCTTCGCTTTATCGCTCTCCTCCTTCGCTTTGTCCCTCTCCTCCTTCGCTTTGTCCCTCTCCTCCTTCGCTTTGTCCCTCTCCTCCCTCGCTCTCTCCGCCTCCTGCCCCGCCCTATCCCTCTCTTCTTTCACCCGCTCCAGATCCTCTCTCAGTCCATCTCTCTCCTGCATGACTCGAGGCAGAGCCTGAAAACATCACAGGCTTAACATCTACAGCATGATGAAGACAGAGGTGGTAGTGATGATGATGATGAATCCTCACCTCTATCTCATCCTCTTCATCCCCAAGCTGCTGCCTCCTCTTCTTCAAATTCGCCGCCTGAAAAGTGCCAAATGTATATGTCCTTTAATCAACAACGCCCAACCACATACATACAGTGCATTCCATTCCATAGCCTAGGCCATCCCTAAGTGTTCCAGATAGTCACGAAAACACATATCAGTGCAACAGTGATTGATTGATTACCTGGGTCTTCAGTATTGCCTCCTGGCTCTTCAGTTCTCTGGCCCTCAGCTTCAGCTTATCCCCCAGCTCCTGAATCTCTGCCTCCTGAGGGACGACATAGGTGTTTAGAGATGACACATGGTGTGTGTGTGTGTGTGTGTGTGTGTCTCTCTCTGTCCTCACCTTGCGTGTGTGTGTTTGGCGTGTCTTGGAGAGCTGGGAGTCTAGCTGTGTACGGAGTCTCTCCAGCTGGGTGCTATGGACGGACAGCAGGCGATCTCTCTCCTCCTGCAGGGCACACAGCAACTGTTCCCTGTGGACAGCCTCCTGGAGGCACACACACACACACACACAGACACACACACACCCACACAGACACACAAATAGATCATGAGTTAATTTCCACAATATTTAACTGCAGCATTACATGTAAGGACAGTGCAGAGGCAACAGCCAAAGCAACAATGACAGTAGCAGCTGCCCGTTACAAGAAGCTGTGACCTTTGAACTGTGTCTCACCTGGTCCAGATGATTCTCTCTGATAGAGTTGAGTTCTCTGCGGTGGTCGTCTTTGAGCTGCTCCAGCTTCCTGGCGTGGTCATGCTGCACTTCCTCCCTCACTTCCTGGAGCACGTCTCCCAACTGGACCAAGACAGTCAGTGGGAGGGATAAATAATGTCACAACACTCTACATATGGTTTAGACTGACATACTGTTATGGTGTTATGTGTATATGCAGTCAGTAAGATGAGGGGCTAAGGTTTTGTGTACCAAAGGTGGGAAGTAATATGTGTATGTATATATGTGTGTGTGTGTGTGTGTGTATGTGTGTATGTGTGTGTGTGTGTGTGTGTGTGTGTGTGTGTGCTCTATCACCTCTCTTTGGTACTCTGCTAGATGCTGCTCTGGGCTACGAAGGCTCTTCAACTCCCTCCGCCTCTCACTGGCAATGCTTCTCCCCTAAGGAACACAACAACACACTGTCTTCAACCATCATCTGCGTGACACACACACACACCACACTATCCTAGACTCACTCCATGCATTTCCCCCACAAAAACCCATACACATTCAGTTGTTTCGAGAACACGTGTGTATTGGAAGGCCCCTCTCCTATACCTCCCCCTCTCCCCTCTCCCACTTTCCCAGCTCCTCTCCTACCTCCCACTCCCCCTCTCTCACCTCCTGTTTGAGGGAGCTGAGTTGCTCCTCCCGCTCCCCAAGCAGTCTCCGCTTCTCCGTATGTAGCTCCTCCTCTGACTTCTCTCTCAGTCGCTCCAGGTCCCGCCTCCTCTGGGCCTCTATCCTCTCTCGCTCCGCCTCTCTCTCCGCCTCCAGGGTGGCATGCAGCTCTCTCAGCATCGCCTCGCCCTCCTCCCTGATAAAAACAACACACACACAAACGCACAACCATTTATAGCTAAATTATTTTTTTGTCTTGTTTTTTTACAGTGACCAAGCGGTATGGCTTTACCTACAGAATGTGTAGTAAGAATAGTATCGCCTAAGCACAGCATAGTTTTGTGAAGTAGTGTCATATTAATATGGCTATGGTCGCTGGGCATGTGATCTAAGGGTCAGTGGAGCACTCCAGGGAGATGACTGTCATGCGAATGAATATGTGTGTGTGTGTGCTTAAGCAGATGGATGAATAGTAGAGAGAGATGAGATGAGTCACCTGACAGTGCGTTGCTGGTTCTCTCTCTCCTTCCGGGCCGTCTCCCTCAGCTCCAGTAACCTGCTTTCAGACTCCACACTCAGCCTGCTCTCCTCTTCCCTCCCCTTACTCTGGAGTCTCTGCCTCAGGCTCCTGGAAGACCAGGACACACACACACACACACAGCAGTGAGATAACCAGCACTGTCACACAACCCAGCATCAACATTGAGTCACATACTCACACATCACAGGGCATATAGAGTGCAGAGAGCATCACAGCTCACAAATACTACTAGAACAGTGGACATGAGTGGAGAGTGAGGGAGGTTGACCACTCTGTGGCCTGCTGCCTGAATGCCTACCTGACCCTCTCCTCGCTCTCCTCCTTTAGCCTCCGTTCCTCCTCCTCCTCCTCCCGCCTCAGCTCCTCCTGAAGGAGGCGCAATTTCTCCTGCCTCTCCCGCAGCGCACGCTCCTTCTCCTCCTTTATCTCCCTCTCAGTCTCCCTCCTCTCCTTCTCCCTCTCCTCCTCCTCCTCCTCTTCCTCCTCCTCTTCCTCCTGGGCCCTTCTGCTGTCCTCCCCCTGTCTGGGGGCTTCCTCTTTGTAGTGGGCGTGGGGGCTCCTAACCAGGCGGCCTCTGGAGGTGTCAGGCCGCTGGACCCCCTGGACCCCTAGGCTGACGCTGGTGCTGACCCCCTCGGCCCGCGGTCGGGGTTCCGGCTCAGAGTGGGAGGACCCTGTGTCCTGCTGGTACTCACTGGGCTGGCTGGGGGGCCTGTCCTCCATCGCTGGATCCTCCCTGCCTGCAGCATGGAGACGCCTGCAGAGTGGGGGCGGGGGGAGGTAGGGAGAGAGAGAGAAAGGTAGAGAGAGTGGGAGAGGATGAGAGGAGAGAGAGAGGAGAGGTAAGGAAGGAGAGTCGAAGAGACGAGAGCGAGATAGAGTCGCTAGAAAATGGGGTATAGAGGATATGGCAGACTCTATACTCTCTTACTCATATCTTATCTCTCTCTCTCTCTCTCTATCTCTCTCTCTCTCTCTCTTCTCTCTCTCTTCTTCTCTCGGTCTCGTCTTCTTTCTTTTTCTTTTTTCTTGTTTCTTTTTTCTCCTTCTACTGATTTTGGCTCAGCTCTAGACTTACAGATCTGTACCAGAGACAGACTACTGCACCAATGACAATGACATTACAGTCGTGGTCAAAAGTTTTGAGAATGACACACAAAGTTTGCTGCCTCAGTGTTGATGATGGCAATTTGCATATACTCCAGAATGTCATGAAGAGTGATCAGATGAATTGCAATTAATTGCAAAGTCCCTCTTTGCCATGAAAATGAACTTAATCCCCCAAAAACATTTCCACTGCATTTCAGCCCTGCCACAAAAGGACCAGCTGCCATCATGTCAGTGATTCTCTCGTTAACACAGGTGAGAGTGTTGACGAGAACAAGGCTGGAGATCACTCTGTCATGCTGATTGAGTTAGAATAAAAGACTGGAAGCTTTAAAAGGAGGGTGGTGCTTGAAATCATTGTTCTCCATGGTTACCTGCAAGGAAACACGTGCCGTCATCATTGCTTTGCACAAAAAGGGTCTTCACAGGCAAGGATATTGCTGCTAGTAAGATTGCACCTAAATCAACCATTTATCGGATCATCAAGAATTTCAAGGAGAGAGGTTCAATTGTTGTGAAGAAGGTGTCAGGGCGCCCAAGAAAGTCCAGCAAGCGCCAGGACCGTCTCCTAAAGTTGATTCAGCTGCGGGATCGGGGCACCACCAGTGCAGAGCTTTCTCAGGAATGGCAGCAGACAGGTGTGAGAGCATCTGCACGCACAGTGAGGCAAAGACGTTTGGAGGATGGCCTGGTGTCAAGAAGGGCAGCAAAGAAGCCACTTCTCTCCAGGAATAACACCAGGGACAGACTGATATTCTGCAAAAGGTACAGGGATTGGACTGCTGAGGACTGGGGTAAAGTCATTTTCTCTGATGAATCCCCTTTCCAATTGTTTGGGGCATCCGGAAAACACCTTGTTCGGAGAAGACAAGGTGAGCACTACCATCAGTCCTGTGTCATGCCAACAGTAAAGCATCCTGAGACCATTCATGTGTGGGGCTGCTTCTCAGCCAAGGGAGTGGGCTCACTCACAATTTTGCCTAAGAACACAGCCATGAATAAAGAATGGTACCAACACATCCTCCGAGAGCAACTTCTCCCAACCATCCAATAACAGTTTGGTGACGACCAATGCCTTTTCCAGCATGATGGAGCACCTTGCCATAAGGCAAAAGTGATAACTAAGTGGCTCGGGGAACAAAATATCGAAATGTTGGGTCCATGGCCAGGAAACTCTCCAGACCTTAATCCCATTGAGAATTTGTGGTCAATCCTCAAGAGGCGGGTGGACAAACAAAAACCCACAAATTCTGACAAACTCCAAGCATTGATTATGCAAGAATGGGCTGCCATAAGTCAGGATGTGGCCCAGAAGTTAATTGACAGCATGCCAGGACGTATTGCAGAGGTCTTGAAAAAGAAGGGTCAACACTGCAAATATTGACTCTTTATAAAAACTTAATGTAATTGTCAATAAAAGCCTTTGACACGTATGGAATGCTTGTAATTATACTTCAGTATACCATAGTAACATTTGACAAAAATATCTCATAACACTGAAGCAGCGAACTTTGTGAAGACCAATACTTGTGTCATTCTCAAAACGTTTGACCACGACTGTATGCTTGTATCACAATGTGTTTTTCAAGTTCAGAGAGGACATTTTACTGAAATATGGGCATTTATCAGAAATGCTTGTCTGCCAACCTCTCTGCAGCTTCTGCCCTCTTCCTCCGTTCCTTCTCCTCCTCCGCACTGACTTTCACTTTCCCCTCGTCTTCCTGGGGAAAATACATGTTTTTTAGATGAATAGCAAATGCTAACTTCTGACTCTACGTGGCATGAGGTGAGTGTTACTTTCAAAATAAAAGAACGGTACAAACTGTGCCTACAGACTCTACAGCCAGAGAACCACTGTGACTGAGAACATCCAAGTGAGGAAGGAGAGAGTGTAGCTGAGGAGGGAGGAGGTGAAGAGGAGAACCAGGGTGAAGAGGGGTGAGCGAGTAAGAAGAAGGGAGGAGAGGAGGAGGAAGAGGAGGAGGAGGAGGAGGAGGAGGAGGAGAAAGTGTGGTACCTGCAGGCGTGGACTAGCAACAGGGGAGAGATCCTTCAGGTCCAGGACTTTCTCTGACAACTTGGAGCCAAAACCAGACTAAAGGGAAAATGGAACACAACACTGTTAGTCTTTACTAAACATTCCCTTTGATAATATCTGTTAAAATTGTACATTATTAAGTATCTATTCTATAGGCCTATCTATAGGGACATGATCTCAATCCATAAAAAAGTACCTTGAGGTCCTCAGTGGAGGAGGATGCCACCTCGATGTGCTCGCTGGCCTCGGACTGCAGATGTAAACACACACTCAGTCACTGACATGAAGCATAGCGCCACCGTTTCACCTCAACACCGTACACACCCACACACAGACACACACACACATGCACTCACACACAGACAGATAGAAAACATGGATGCATGCTGCCATTCTCAGCGACACACGGCAATTATGAAGGCTCTCGTAGTAGGGTGAAATAAGTACAGCAGCAAAGGGACAATACACTAGTCAACAGCACAGAGCAGCCATCCCATGGCTTGATCAGCAAAGCTTGGGCAGACAAGAGGCAAAGAGCGAGACAAAATGCCTCTCCCACACAAGCACAGGGCTGGTCAAGCAGGCAGTAGAGACAGAGAAACACAGGCTACAGCACTGCAAGTTTGGACTGAGAGGACGGGGATGCCTTGGGGGCTGTCTGAGAGGACGGGGCTGCCTTGGGGGCTGTCTGAGAGGGTGGGGCAGCTAGAAGGCTGTCTGATAGGGTGGGGCTGCCTTGGGGGCTGTCTGAGAGGGTGGGGCTGTCTTGGAGGCTGTCTGAGAGGGTGGGGCTGCCTTGGAGGCTGTCTGAGGTGGGTGGGACTGTCTTGGGGGCTGGCTGAGAGGATGTGGGTGCCTTGGGGGATGACTGAGAGGGTGGGGCTGTCTTGGAGGCTGTCTGAGAGGGTGGGACTGTCTTGGGGGCTGGCTGAGAGGATGTGGGTGCCTTGGGGGTAGACTGAGAGGATGGGGCTGCCTTGGGGGCTGTCTGAGAGGGTGGGGCAGCTAGAAGGCTGTCTGATAGGGTGGGGCTGCCTTGGGGGCTGTCTGAGAGGGTGGGGCTGCCTTGGAGGCTGTCTGAGGTGGGTGGGACTGTCTTGGGGGCTGGCTGAGAGGATGTGGGTGCCTTGGGGGATGACTGAGAGGGTGGGGCTGTCTTGGAGGCTGTCTGAGAGGGTGGGACTGTCTTGGGGGCTGGCTGAGAGGTGGCTGCCTTGGGGGCTGGCTGAGAGGGTGGGGCTGCCTTGGGGGCTGTCTGAGAGGGTGGGACTGCCTTGGGGGCTGGCTGAGAGGATGGGGCCGCCTAGGAGGCTGTTTGAGACGATAGGGCTGCCTAGGGGGATGACTGAGAGGATGGGGCTGCCTAGGGGTCTGACTAAGAGGATAGGGCTGCCTAGGGGGATGACTGAGAGGATGGGGCTGCCTTGGGGGGTGGCTGAGAGGATGTAACTGCACTGGGGGATGACTAATAGGATGGGGCTGCCTAGGGGTCTGACTAAGAGGATAGGGCTGCCTAGAGGGTTGTCTGAGAGGATGGGGCTGCCTTTGGGGCTAGCTGAGAGGATGGGGCTGCCTCGGGGGCTGGTTGAGAGGATGGGGCTGCCTTTGGGGATGGCTGAGAGGATGGGGCTACCTTGGGGGGTGGCTGAGAGGATGGGGCTGCCTTTGGGGCTAGCTGAGAGGATGGGGCTGCCTCGGGGGCTGGTTGAGAGGATGGGGCTGCCTTTGGGGATGGCTGAGAGGATGGGGCTGCCTTGGGGGATGGCTGAGAGGATGGGGCTGCAGTGCTCAGCTCTGGAGGAGGAGGGATGGAGGCAAAACTGGCAACAAGGGGACCAGAATATTCCAATCAAGTCCTCAGGGGCTCAAGTGTTAGAAGCCCAATGGCTGGAGGTTTGGTGGACTGGCAAAAATATGTGTAAAGACCAAAGACACCAATGTGACGTGAGAGGGAGACCATGGGGGGCTGGATTCACCAGGGTTGGGACTTGGGACACACACAGCCCCTCAGGGAGTGGATTGGTGTCTCCTTTGGCTGAGAGCGGGGTGGCGGTGCATGCAGAGGGGGAGCACACAGGGCAGGGGCCACGACATGGTCAAAGCACACCAAACCCCTACCTCTGCTGGTTGAGGGCTTTGTTTGGGCACATTCTTCTTCTTCCCCACATACACCTCCATTTTGTCACTTCGTTTAAGGTCCGCTAACTTCTTCTTCTGCCCCAGTGACCTAGCTTGGAGTGTTTGTTGTTCGAGTCTCTCCATTACTTCCTCTGAGCTTGTGGATGTTTTGGGTTTCGGTGAGTCTTGCACGGTCTGAATGCAGTTTTCCACCACCTCATCGCTGTCTTCTTCAAGTTTGTCTCCTTCCTTTTCTTTTCGTTCACTTTTGACGCACCTCTCCACCTCCTCCTCACTGCTCTCCTCTCCTTCACTAGCCCGTTTTTCACTCAGCGAGCATCTCTCTAAGACTTTGTCACTTTCCTCCCCTTCCTCGCTTTTGACACACCTCTCCACTACCTCCTCACTCTCCAACTCCTCAGGTTCATCTTTACCCTCCTCTTCCTCACTTTTCACACACCTCTCCACCACCTCACTCTCTCCCTCATCAGCCTCCTCTTTGCCAACCTCCTCTTCCACTTCCTCTTCCTCACTTTTCACAGACCTCTCTAACAACCTCAACTCCCTCTACTCGCCTCTCTTTAACGCCCCGCCTCTTCCCCACCAACCCTCACTTTTCACACAACTCTCCACCACCTCACCTCTCTCCCTCCTCACCCTCCTCTTCTCAACTTTTCACACACCTCTCCACCCCACCTCACTCTTCCCTCCTCACCCTCCTCTTCCCGCTTTTCCACACCCTCCTTCCACCACCTCAAAACTCTCTCCCTCCTCAGCTCTTTCTTTTAAAACGAAACGCCCTCCGCCCTTCCACCTTCCCCCCTCCTCCTTCTCTTCCTCACTTTTCACAACAACCTCTTCCACCACCCTCACTCCTCCCTTCCTCACCCTCCTCCTTCCCTCACACCTCTTCCACAACCTCACTCTGTACCCTCCTCAACCCTCACCCCGCTTTTTCACACACCCTCCCACCACCTCAGTCACTCCTTCCTCCCTCCTCACCCTTCCCTCTTCCTCTCCTTTTCACTAGCACCTCCACCACCGTCATTCTCAGTCCCATACCTCACCCTCCTCGTTCCCCTTTTCCAACCACCTCTCCACCACCTCCATCTCTCCCTCATCCAGATCCCCTCCCTCTTCCTCACTTTTCACACACTCTCCACCACCCATCACTCTCTCCCTCATCACCCTCCTCTTCCTCATTTTCACACAACCTCTCCACCACCTTCGACTCTCTCCCTCATCACCCTCCCTCTTTCCGCACTTTTCACACACCTCTCCACCACCCTCACTCTGTCCCTCCTCAGCCTCCTCTTTGCCTTCCTCCTCTTCTTTTAACCACCTCTTAACCACTTCTTCACTATCCTCATCTCCCTTTGCCTCAACTTCCTCCTCTATACTGTCTCTGACAGTCTCTTCCTTCCTTTCCACATGCTTGCTTTTGAAATATCTCTCCACCACTACCTCACTTTCCTCTTCATCTCCTCCCTCCATCTCTTTAATATATCTCTCTACTACCTCATCACTCTCTTCTGCTTTTTGTTCTTCCTCACTTTTTACACCGCTCTCAACTAGCTCATTGCTTTCCTCCACTTGTTTGTCATGCTCTACTTCTAGTTCTTCATTGTTAACATGTTGCTCTACTACCTCATCACCCTCTTCTTGCTCTCCAAGATATCTCTCTATTATTTCATCACTTTCTTCTTCTTCCTCCTTTTTATTGACATTTTCCTCACTTTTCTCAACTACGTCACCAGTCCCCTCTTCCTCCCCTTCCTCTTCCTCACTTTTTACACATCTATTTATGACCTCATCACTTTCCTCCTCTCCCTCCTCCAACTTTTCTTCACACTCTACCTCCTCACCGACCTCAGCCTCAACGTCCTTGCCCTCCTCCTCCTCCTCTCCTTTCTTCTTCTCCCTCACCTGTCCCTCTTCTCCCTGGTTCTCCTCTTCACCTCCTTCCTCCTCAGCCACACTCTCTCTATCCTCTCCCCACCCCTCCTCATAATCTTCCTCCTCCTCTCCACTGTCTCTAGTTTTAGCAGGCTGGGGATCTGGGGTAGGGGGGCAGACCCCAGCACTACTGCAGTCCCTGCTGCCTCCGCGTGGTGGAGAGGAGAGGAGGTGGCGTCCACGAAGGGAACCCTTGGTTGGAAGGGGAGGATGGTGGCACCCAGAGAGAAAGAGAGGGAAGGCGTGCATAGACACAAACACAAAAAGAAAGAAAGTAGGGGTACAATATTGTACAATATTGTGACAAGGAGAAGACACAGGGACCTGAGCAGCACGCAAACCACTCACGCATTCCGTAGGTAGAGCTCACCGAAAGAGAACAGTCATGTCAACAACAACAACAAACACAGAGAAGTGTGATTAAATCACAGGAAGTACACAGTTAAACACACACACACACACACACACACACACACACACACAGAAAGACCTCTAAGACCAACGTGAGGGGTGATCGAATGAAAGACTCAGACGGCAAAGCAATAACAGTGACAGTATGAGGACAAGAGGACAAACAGAAAGAAACAGTGGCAGCCGTGACCATAGCACAGCTCCCATTGACACAACATCTACACAACCAGGAAGAGATAGAGACACAAGAACCAAAACACATGTTTAAAGTCACACACACACACACTTATGAGAGTTGATAAATGACAAAGATGTTATGTATGAATGAATGAATAGGCTTACACAGTTTCCCAATTATAGCTTACACTTTCCATCCCTCAAGTGTTGGTTTTGGTTAAAGGCAATCTAGTACACAAGAGCAGTTCTATCTAGGTCTGCATCTTGTAACAGTCATGGGTTTTGAGTATATACATACACCACAGGATTAACAGTGGGATGAAAAGAGAGAAAGAGACCGTGAGAGAAGTAATAGATTGAGCCACATCAGTAGTGTGTGTGTTACCTGTTGAGAGGGGGGCTCAGGGCTGTGCTCTTCAGACAGGGCCAGGTCCTGTAGCTCTGGTTCTGTCCTCTCCTCTAGAGGGGCCACTCCACTGGCCTCACTGTCCTGTTAGCCACACAACACACACGGCTGAGCCTAAATTCATTATACAGAGACGTTTTCTAAAGTAATAATGACGAGGGACTGTGTTTATCTGCACTGTTATCATTCACTGATGGGAGTTGAAAGTAGTTGAAAATTCCTAAGGGGGCAATGCCATAAAATATACATTTTCAGTGAAATGGTTCACAGTTCAAGTTGAGTGGTAGGTGTGTTATGTAATGTTATGAGCATGGTATGTGTTTTGTTATGAGTGTGGAATGACCCCTATTTGATGTTCTTGTGCATAGTGAAGAAGGTGATGTACCTCATACTGCAGCCCTCCTCCCAACGCATCCAAGTCCAGGTGCAGGTTCTGTAACAGTCTGGCCGAGCCACGAGGACACTGCAAACAGCATCACAGTCATACATCTAACTTATACTCCACAAATGAAACACTTTTATTCTCCAAATATTCTGCTTCACAGTGCCCCGAAAGGGCTGGTATGCACGTTGCCAGTTGAAAGACGTACCGGCTGCTCATCCTCTGATATGTTATCCTGGTCATCCTCGAACCCAGGCAGAGAGAAAGCCACACGCTCCTCCTGTCGCCTTCCCAGTAGGCTGGAACCGAGGCTTGAGAGAGGACCCTTAGGGAGGGGAGGGAGGGAGGGGGGGGAGAGAGAGAGAGAGAGAGAGAGAGAGAGAGAGAGAGAGAGAGAGAGAGAGAGAGAGAGAGAGAGAGAGAGAGAGAATTAAGGACTCTCAACAGCACACTATAAGCATAAGGGTAATAAAGTACAGGTCATGAACTATCATTCTTTTTCATCAAGGTGAAAGCTCTTACCCCAAGGGGACTCTTCAGTGGCTCCAGCCCTCCAGAGCTGCCCAGGGATCCCCTCAAGGCCGGGCCATCAAGACCCCGTAGAGGAGCAAGGCTCCCCAGGCTCCCCAACGGGGCCTGCAGGGGCCCAAGGGCCAAGCTCAATGGCTGAGAGAGAGACACATGTGAACAAATATGTTGTGTAGAGAGAGGTCAGGTTAATAGTAATCATCATGATATTCAAGGATCTTATCGAAACAGAGCAAAATTTGGTATACTGCTCCTATCATTTACCTGCTTCTACCAATCCTTCTCCTATGACTACAACAGTTCCTTTACGCTCTGAGCCCATGTCTTACTATTGCCTGTCTGTAATCTGTGGTCCTACCTGCCGACTCCCTGTATTGCCCTGCCCTGCAGGATCGACCATGCTCTCTCCCATCCTGTCTCTCGGCTGAGAGGTAGGGGGACATGGGGCCAGGGGAGAGACAGAGAGGGGCCAGGTAGGGGGACGAGGCCCTGCTCACTGTCCCTGGCATCAAGTAAGTGAACTCCTGGGATGAACTTTCCCTTCTGCTTGGCCTTCTCTTCCCTCATACATTTCCGTCATCACTGCCCCAGGTGTAGAATGACCATATGAAGGCATTTGGGGTTCAATAGCCATTCCTTCCTTCCACTTCTAAACAGACCACCTTGTCGCTGAAATCACTACTGCTCTCCCTGCCCTCTTCTGCTGCCCCCCTCCATTCCACCACCTCCTCAGTGACAAAGCCCTCTACTCCCCCCTCGAGACTACCATGACTAACTGCATCAGCTCGGCTCTGTGTTTCATCATTGGGTCCTAGGCCAAACCCCACTGCCCTGTCCCATTCCTCATTGTATGGCGCTAGCCCCCATGTTTGTTTGAACCCCCTACCAGGGAACCTTTCACTGTTCCCAGGGGTATTGGGAGGATGTGAAGGGGCAGGTGGAGGCTGAGTCTCTGGGTCAGGGAAGGCTCTGGAGAAGCCAGGAGAAAGGCCCAGGATCTCTTGGGCGTCCGCTAGGGCCTTACTGCAGCGGACAGACCCACCCAGGGGCGAGAGAGGAGATACAGCCCAGTTGAGAGGAGGGAGGGTGGACAGGTGGGATAGTGGAGCCAAGCTGGGGAGTGCTGTATTAGAGAAGACAGCAAAGCTGACGTTCAAGGGGGAGAGAGGGGGCTGGGTGGGTGCAGAGGATCCCTGTGATCTGAGTAGCCTTCCCTGTTTCTGTCTGGGTCTCCTTCAATGCACGACTTTCCCCTTTGCTAACAGACTGTTAAGAAAGGATACACATAGGAAATGGCAAATGACTTAGGACAATGACTTGTTTATAACTCTATAATCACTACGATAATCACTATATCGGTATAACTGTATCACCTAGTAACTCGGGGGCATGAAGCAACCAAGCATAAGTATGTGACTGCTGTGTTGATGACCAAGACAATATAATAATGTATTGGTTCAGCCAAATCCCTCTAAAGGTCTCATCTTTGTACTTTGTTTCCTTTCTACTATTTACAGTATTTTCTGCTACACCTCAGTGACTAAGTGTAATAGCTGTGCTTCTTTGACATTATTTAGAGTTCAAGTTATTTCCAGACCAATACATCTACACACAACAGCACTGCAGTGTTCTGAGACATTTGTGAGTCACTTCATGTACATGGTGTATTTCAGAACATAACAACGCCCACTCACTCCTGGTGGTTTCAGGAGCTCTTGGTCTTTCTCCTTCTTCTTTTTCTCCTTCTTGTCTTTTTTCTTCTTCTTCTCCTTTTTAGCGGCGGTGGTGGGGGGCCCGTGGGGCTGGGTGCCGGCTCGTTCGCGCTCCTGTTTTACCAGGCTGCGGTATTGCTCGTCACACGGGTGGTCCCAGGTGGACTGGCCCGAGGAGAAGTTGAAGTAGTACACGTCCCCCGTCACGTCCTGACTGCGAGAGGAGGGAGAGGAGGGGGTCACTTCAGCACCTCAGAGCTCAGCGAAGGGAGAAGAGACCAGTGAACATTAAAATAACAGTGACACTGACAGGTGTGATTTGAGAAACCATTGACTGAACTAGGCCAGCTAGGAAGTATCTTTAGAGTAAGAAAGATGTGGAGAAAGTGGTTTTCTTTTACTTTAACAGGTAGATTGTAGGTGTATATTGTATCTGGGAATACTGGGCAGTCTACCACTGCTGATACAACACTACTAGGGGCCAGAGATGGAGTCAATGTCAGGCGTCTTCAAATTCAGATCACAGTAAAAAGAATGTGAATCGAGACCACGACCGAGACAAAGCTGATCCATGCAAGAGAAGGGTGACATTGTGACCAGTCAGTATGACCAAATCTGTGTTATTTGTGGTTAATGAATCACTATCAAAAAAGTACTGTTAAAAATTTAATTAAAAGTACTGTTTTACTGCAATTAAAAAAACATGCATTTATGGAAGTCAATGTTGGGGTAGCACAAAAAGCATCCCCCATCTACAAATGTGTTGACCATCCACACAGGTGAGAATATTTGTGTTCGGTTTCAAATTCACTTGAGTGGATGTTACTGACCGACGCCACCAGGTTCAGACTCCATCTCTGGTACAGTGGTAGACGCCTACCTGCTTACCAGGGTTTCCATTCGGGAGGCAGTGGGGCAACAATGCCCTCCCTGGCCAGCCATAGGAGCTCTGGCTCCCGATTGGGATCAATGCCAATCTCTCGTGCGTACTCGTGGATCTCTGACAGGGGAGGGGAAGAAAGCAGGGAGGAAAATCTCCAGGTAACATTAAATGACTTCTCACACAACCAAAATAAGTTAGTGAATGTGTCTTATCTATGTAAAACAGAGCATTGCTTGGTTTGGAGATGTGCCTATGTGTTTGATGCCCACTACAACACTTTGCATCATGCTTGTGTAGTTCTGTTTCAGCAATGTAGCTTACAGTCTACTGATCTGTCAACTAGAAAGGGAGCCATACTACCCCTTCTGTATCCTTCCTCTCTACCTTGTTCAGAGGGGATATAGCTCTCATCGTAGTCCTCTTCCAGGATCAGCTGGTCTCCAATCTGGAGATCAGCAGCTGCTGTCATGGTTACTTAGAGGGGGAAAAGGTCATGTTGTAGATGCCATTTGAAAATTGTAGCTAGGCTATATTGCATTTGCAAGTAGCGCATGCATCGCTACAAACCAAACCCCATATGGGACCTCTGTGTACAGTCATAAATCTATGCTACTACGTTTTGCTAAATCTATCCACGTAGCTTGTTGGCTAGCTAGCTAAGTGTAGCTAGCCACAATGAACAACCCTTAACCACAGTTAAAAGGGGAAAGCTTTTCAATTAAAACTAAAGGGGGTTAGCGGGCGCTATTGTTGGGTTTAACTACAGTAGCTACGTTAGTTAACTATCTTTGCCCTTTCTTTAGCTACGTAAGTTAGCTAATGTCCGTTTAGTAACCTAACGAGCTAAGTTAGTTGGACGGTTAAATTAGAATAATAACTACCCTACTGTTGTTGACATGTTTTCATAGCTATCTACAGTAGCTGGCTAACGTTAGGTTTCCTGACAGACCAAGGTGGGTGGCGTCACATCTCAGAGGAAAATGTTACAGTAGCTAACTAGCTAGCATTAGCATATTCGCTAGAAACTTCAATTTGGACAAACAACGTACGATTTACCTACCTAACTACAAGTTATTATCCTATCCCAGTAAGGGCAAGATCAGTCAAGTGCAATTATTATTGACATGTTCCCTTACAAATGAGTAGAATGGTTGCACTTGGTCTGCTAGCTAAACAACAACATATCAAAATAGAATCCGCTGATGGAGCTTCCAGGGACGCTTTAGTCCGTTTCCGGTTCCAACACCCCTAGCAACCACGTAGCACCCACCTACCACTCAGACATATCGCGGTAGGTTGGACAAAAGTGATGCAGAGGACACCTCTCATTGTGATTGGTCCCTGAGCCCATAAAATGTATTTTCTCTTTCTGTAAAAACCCTACCTTTAACCATTTCCACTGTTCCCCAAGAGTTAGTTCTGCTTCACTTCAGTTTGCTCCTCAATTCATGCACCTTGGTTGGAGAGTGGGGTAGCGGTTGTGATTCTCCCTTAAACACAGGTCAGATTAATTCAAATAGAAGACTCTAATTTGCATGCAATTCATAAATTATTGCAGTGCCACTTCCAAATGACATCAACAACAGTCCAACTATGGAGGACTAAAAGTGCCACAATTAAATAAATAAATACACCATTAAATAATTACTTAAATGTGTCATTAATTAATTAAAATTAGAATTAAATACATAAATGTGTAATTAAATGTATCATTAATTAATTCAAATACCGATTCATTTTATGTAAAATACATATATAATTATTTCACTATTTACATTTACATTTCATGATCCTGCATTGCAGTGATTCATGAATTACTTAAAACTGTCAAACTGACCCATCAAAGTCAGTGGGCGGGGCTAACGCGAATCTAGTCTGATCCATTGCTTTGGTCTGAAGTAGAGTAGGCCAACCTGGATAGAGACAATGGAGGATCTCCGTGAACTTTCCAGGGAGTTGGTTAGAGACATTTTAAACTTAGCAGAGGATGTAGAAGCAGGACCAGCTGACATTATCCGGAATTGATTTGTCTTGGCTTGATGCAGAGGGTAACCAATCAGGCGTTAGGTTCCGCCTACCAACTTTTGATGGGTCAGTTTGACAGTTTTAAGTAATTCAGGAAGCACTCCAACGCAGGACCATGAAATGTAAATGTAAATAGTGAAATTATTATATATGTATTTTACATAAAATGAATCGGTATTTGAATTAATTAATGATACATTTAATTACACATTTATGTATTTAATTCTAATTTTAATTAATTAATGACACATTTAAGTAATTATTTAATGGTGTATTTATTTATTTAATTGTGGCACTTTTAGTCCTCCATATCCAACAACAATAGGAGCCTTCCAGTATGAGGAGGTATCAAACAGTTGTCATAAAACGACTTCTCAATGAAGTGGTTCCTTGACGAATGTATCCTGCTTTATTGTGGGCAAAGTGGATATTGACAGCAACCAAAAGGTATACATGCACTCAGTTGGGTTTTAGCCCTATTAATTATTCACCAAAATTATTGCTTTTTTACTGTAATTATATCTTGCATTGCAAAACTATAGATTGGTTTGTCTTTTCTGAATCCATGAATTGAGGCTTCCTTTTCAATAGCCTAAAGCCTAACAATAATATAGTTTAAAAGTATCTATCTGATTTCAAAAACATAGTCACAATACCTGCTGAAAAAAACAGCATAGACCACCATATGCTTGGCCAGCTTCACCAGCTAGACCATACTGGTCCGACCAACTTGACCAGCATCAGACCAGCACTGACCAGCATATGCTGTTTTTTAAAGCAGGGTATTGCTACAGTATGCAGTTTGTTTAGCCCGTAATGCAACACCCGCATCTACCATAGGGTGGCAACAAATCAGTCTGAGAAATCCTCTGCTTTCGCCACTGAGCAGTGACTTTGTTCGTTGGCTTTACTCCTAATAAAAATCTGAAAGATGCTCCAGTGTGTCATCATCACTTAGCATCATCGCCCAGTTTCTCTTCAAAAAAACACCCACCAGCCATTTCCTCTGTGGGATCCTCCTAAAACTGCAGAAGACAAATCAAGGAGCTAATTGTTTATAGGCCTTGTTGTGCAAGAAAGCAAAGAATTTAGGCATGAATGCCAATCACATTTAGTGAAATATTATGCTTATGTAGCTGTCTTTGAACATGTCCTCCATGAACTTGAACGTGAGATGTTATCTACACAGTAGCCTAATCTACACAGTAATTCCATTATATGCTTTTCAGTCCTCTGCTATGAGAAATAGATAAAGATCTTGAAATCTAGAAATAGCCTAGATCACTCTGATGGAATGAAAGCCTCACACCCAGTTGGCATGACTGGTTCCGTTTGTGTGGGTAGATGTTTATTTGTTTAATGGCTGTAAAAAAATATGTTTGTGTTCATGTTAACCCTCCTCTGGTATTTTCAGCATATCCCTGATCTAGTGGCCGCCAAATCTGAAGGTCCTTGACTGATGATCAATGTCACAGTTGTGTAAGATCTGTGGCAAAGTTTACCGAATTCTTTCCAAAATGGATAGATGGCATCTACATTCTTAGAAAAAACAGTTCCAAAAGGGTTCTTCGGCTGTCCCCATAGGATAACCATTTTTGTTTCCAGGTAGAACCATTTTTATTTCCAGGCAGAACCCTTTTGGGTTCCATGTAGAACCCTCTGTAAAAAAAAGGATTCTACCTGGAACCAAAAGGGGTTCTACCTGCAACCAAAAAGGGTTCTTCAAAGGGTTATCCTATGGGGACAGCTGAAGAACCCTTCAAAGTTCTAGATAGCACCTTTTTTTCTAAGTGTATATGAATTTGGCATTGCTGTATTTGGCCCCTGAATTGGGCACAGCTTTATCGTTCTTTTCTGTACTACGTATTGTGTAGGTGGTTTGGCCGAGGTCCTAGGTGAATGCCCCCTAATTCCCGGCAGTGATAGGCACTAGTACACAAACATAGGCCTTGGAACTTAAATAACAGCATCTACACAGCTAAACACACAACATCTCTTGCTTATAAATTTGAGTTCTTGCATCTCGAGTACTCAGGCTTCAAGGAATTGAAAAAGTAATTGATTATTTTTTTTAAATCAATGTGTAAATTCAAATCAAATGTATGGGTCAATTGCGCCATATACAACAGGTGTAGACTTTTCTGTGAAATGCTTACTTTCAAGCCCATTCCCAACAATGTAGAGTTCAAAAGTAAAAAATTTATAAAAAAGGAAATAGTAACACAATAAAATAATAATGAGGCTATATTCAAGGAGCACCAGTACCTTGTGTGTGTTGGAGCGTCTGTGTGAGTGTGTGTGTATGTGTGTGTGTGTGTGTGTTGGAGTGTCCGTATAGTGTGTGTGAGTGTGTGGGTAGAGTCTAGTGAGTGTGCATAGACCCAATGCAAGAGAGTCGTAAAAAAAAGGGAAAAAAATAGCAAGAAGGACGATTTTGTGTTAATGATGAACGGCATCTGAAGTAGGAAATAGTTTGACCCACTGATTAGCAACCATAAATTCCCCACAGAGAAGATATCAGTTGAGAATACTGAATACAGAAACTCCACTGTGAGTCGTTGGAACCAAGGTTTCCCTGGTTGTATCCTTATACACACTTCACAGATACGCGTTACCTAGTGCTGGCCTGGTTTACAGACTTCCTATGTGACCATATCTCAACCTAAAGTCTTCTTATCGCCAAGACTTGGCAACATCCAACTGGGCAAAAACTGGTTGAATCAATATTATTTCCACGTTATTTCAACCAAAACAATTCCCTTACGTGAATGACTTTTTGCAAATCAAAGTTGAAAAGTGATTGGATTTGCAAAAAGTCATCAACGTAAGGGAATTTTGTCTTTTTTTCACCAAACTTTTAACCTAAATTCAATGACATGGTGAAATGTTTTGTTGATTTCATATTAGTTGACAACTCAACCAAATGTAAATCAAAATTAGATATTGAACTGACTTCTGTGCCCACTGGGATCCTACCATTCCAGAGGTTATTCAAGTGCAGGGTGGATACAACTTTTGTTGATTTGCTTCCGTTATCTCTACATGTAGATAAACGTATAGGGAAAAGGGGAACTCAAATCTCTTCTGACGTCAAAGACGTCACCTGGTCTCCAACAGATGTGTGGTTGCAATAGTACTTGTCACAATGGAGATCAATCAGTAAAGAGTGAGGGAGGGGGTCACCATTCAGCCATACGTTCATTTCTAGTGGAAAACCTTCCCTGCACAGGGAGCAGGGGACAGCCGGAGGGAGCAGACCAAACAACTTGACTTTTGAACTAAGACCAATGCCTGATAAAGTGGTGATTGACTGACTAAATATTTACAGCATATGGCAATTTTACCCCATGTAGTATGACAGTGGAAATACCCCTGACAGTGTTACCCTTTAATTTGTCACTGTGCTTATAATTGCTCTCACAGTTGTCATTTCTAATCTAATTG